CATATCACAAGTTTTAAAGTGATCCCTACGACTTTTTATCTAACTTTTGGAACCGTTGAATTTTTCTCTTTCCAGGTGCAGTGAATAACAAGAGGTACGAAATTATATTTTCTTTTTACAACCGTCTTACCGGCTCATTTGCTAGTCAGACTCTGTGAATCTGTTAGTTTTTTTGTTTGTTTGTGTGTTTGCTTTTTTAAAAGCAAACCTTACATTTGCACATATCCTTAAACCGTTTGTTCGCATCGGAATCAATCATGAACGGTAGTTTCCATGCAGGTTCGGTTTTTAATTAACTGAAAGAAGACTTTGCATCCCTGGATTAAACATAATTTACTTCTCTCCAAGATTTGCAGCGGCAGCGATCGCAGCATTTGGAGCCATAAGCTTAGACCATCGCGTGGAAAAAGTCCCGATTGACTTGAAGACAAAATTCAACGAAGTAGCAGACGAGAAAGCGCTGGTGTTACACGATAACTTGGAAGTTAGGGACAGGTTAGTTGTTATTGTTGTTGTTTTTTTAACTATGGTGTTGTTGTTATTGTTGTTTATTTTGTCTTAGTGTAAGTAGACCATGTGCAGGCTCTCCACCCTCTGATAACCTCGACGGGGTGGGGTGAGAAGCTAGTGAATGAGGAGGAAATGTCTGCACCTTACCCCACTGCTCTTTGTATTGTCACTGAGATCCGGTTTTCTCGCGGGGCAGTGAGATGTCTTGGGTGCTCATCAATGGTGTAAGATGTAAGGTTCAGTATCAAGAGGTGGATGAAAGATAAGAGAAAAAGTTGTAGCGTTTAAGTTTAATTTAACCCAAAGTTTTTTTATTTAGGACTCGACTACAAGTATTGGAACGTAAACTGATGTGTCTGGAGACATTTAACAACATCTACAAAGCTCTGGATCAGATGAGAAGTGGCAGTGTATTACCCGACACAGAAACGAATGAAGAGATGCGACAGCGAGTCACTGAGGAATGTAAATGGTTTGTACATCAACTGTTTTCAACAACATTAATTTTTTTGTCCTTTGATCAAATCATCTGAATACTTACAGAAACTTAGTTTAGTTTTGAATTTTTAGAGTTGCACATGAAATATACTCTCTTGGAGCTAACCATCTTCATAAGTAATTGAATAGCTAGTTATATTACAGGTAAAATAAAGGAATACTTCTATGAGTGTCTGTAATAATGAAAACTATTACTCAAGCAAAAACAAGAATTTTTGTTGAAAGGAAGAACCCGTCACACATTACATTGCAACTACGGTCTCATCCTTTTACTACACCTCTCACTCACGAATTGTTCTCACTAATTTGGCCTTTTTACTTTGTGGTGCAATCGCCTGCCCAGTCATATCAGACTTTTAGTCTTGTTTCAGTAATTATAATCTGAGTTATACCTTAAGGCTACGTATGGTGGATTGCGCCTTTTAAATGAGTTTCTTAAACTCAGCACTGAAATAATCACGGTAGCCAATCAGAATAGAGGAAAATACGAAGGGGAGCCAATGAGAGTCCAAGCAAACGTATGTCGCTACCCTGAAGCGCGGGAAAACGTTGGTGGCTTAGCCTTGACCGGTTTTGGTGCACATATGATTGCTTTTGTTTTTTTTTCTTTTAATTGTTTTGTGCTTGTGTTGAGAGGTATGGCGAGTTTGCATAAACACTAAAATCGTTATTATTGATTTATTGATATTAGGTACAAGGACTTACTAAGCAATTTACCTCAAGAGGTGAGGGCTGATCGCTGCTGTACACTGGTGTTAAACAAGATTGCTGGTTATGGCTCGGTAAGTGTTTTAAGATGGTGTCAGGTAACACCATAATGCTGCCGCAATGGCATTTCGTATTCTTCTTGTTTATAATTCCACGTATGATTGGCGAACACGTCTAAAAATGGCCGACCTTTACTTAATGGCCAAAGGGGTGAAAATTGTCGGGTATGTTAACCTTCCCTTTCTTTTGTCATTTTCTGGATTAAGGAGTAACCTTGTTTTAATAAAACAATTAAAAAGCAATTTTTTTTGCATCGGTTTCTCTTTACCCAATATCAGTGCGTTCTGACCGCGTAGATATTGGGTTCTCGTTGAGCGAGTTGTCTTGACTAAGATGTTATGATAAACAAAGATTTTTAGCATTAATCATAAGCGCGAGGCAACGTTGGATTCGGACCCGGACTAGACTCAATTTTATGGTCGACTACCCCGTCAATTTCGCTTAAGATATATTTTCGGGGAAACAAGCAATGTATTGTTCATAACGGCATATACTTTTTTTAAGCTTGAAGGTCGAAAGATAAGTGGTAGTCAATTCCTGAAGGTGCTATCGACGCTTCGAGTGTGGGAAATTTGTGCTCCTGATATAAATGCAGCTATAGAGGTAACTAAATCTTAACAATGTGGATATTTCTGAGTAAGGGGGGATCTTCTGACACGAAGAGAGTGTGTGATCTATTTTCATCTTGAATATTACTCAGTTTTAAGTTGTTTAATCTTTGAAATTAAAGTGTCTGAACTTTACTGTCATGTTGTTTAAGTTGGTATTGGGTCAATCAAAGTAAAGCTTTAATTCAGTTTCTTTCACACAATACTATTTTTATCTTCATCCCAGAATCTGATCCTAAAAATTCATCTTTATCAATCAGTACCCAGAATTACTTACTATTTTTGTTTCATTTTGATTTTGTCAGTTTGTCCGTGAGAAGGTCGTAGAGATGTCAGAACTGGAGTTCGAAGATTGGCTAAACGCTAAATTTCCTCAACCACAGAGACCTGTTTCTGCACCGCCCCCAAGAAGCAGTGGTTTTCGATATTAAGTAGGTCATTTGTTGGGATAAACTGAGAAGCTTAAGCCTGAAATACGGAGCGACTCTCCAAAGATGTTTCTTTTGTTTCAGTGAAGACGAGGATGGGGTATAGGCGTATTACCCAACTGCACGAGGTTTTGTTTCTGTTCTTGGTCCAAGTTCCGGATCAAAATAGAAAACTAATTAAAAGCGCAGTGATTTTAGAGTAACGTAGTGAATGTTTCTTTTTTAGGATATTTTAAGCGATTTTTATTGATATAAAAAGAACTTGTCAAGGGTAGTGAAATATCTCAACCTGGTGCAACTAGGGAAAAAATCTCAAAGGTGTGGAGTCCGATGGTTAGGTTGTACGTTGTATCATAGTTGACGCTAACAGTAGTTCAGTAGGTCATACTACTTCACACCAACTCAGGTCCGCGCCTGAAACATCCAGTCGGCTAACGCTCGAAACTATCTTGTTATAATCTTCTCTCCCCCTCTCCCCCCCTTCCCCCCCCTCCCCGACGCAACACCACAGCTTCTTTAGAAACTTACCCCCTTTATTCAAGAAATTTGCCTGTAACTTTGATGTAACAACACAGTCGGAGTATTCAGAAATCAAGCTACAGGTAGTAATGCATAGACTCAGTTTTTTAACCAAAAATTGTTTATGATATTTAAGTTTGTTCCATCTTTTACTCATTTATAAAAATATAACTTTCTATAAGATACTGGTGAGTATTTCAAAGAGTAAATTTTTTAACACGTTTAAAGCATCGCTCTGTTTCTTACGTCTGGTATATTTATTTTTATAGACAGAAATTTTAGCGACTTGTTGCATATGTTTTTTTCTAAAATAAATCTTTTGTCATGAGCAGTTTATAAAATCAAAATTAATGTTGGATAAATACTTAGTATTTTGTATGTTCTTGCAAACTAAGTGGAATAAAATATAAAAATTTTTTTCTTAAGTATTTCTATTTGTTCAGTCGTCTTTTCGTTTGATCCCGGCGTTGAAGTGTTCTGTCGGGCCCAACCCCCTCCGCAACCGATCGTTCGGTTTTGTCAACGCAACGCATAAGAGAGTGTATTGTGTTACAACAACTGCGATGAAGACTTGGTCGGGCGAGCAAGAAAAAAAACAGGAAGTCTAAGACCGCACATAACTACTGAAATAGCACAATTTTTATACCACTGAAAAGAACTGGAGGTTTTATAAAAACGCTAGAGGATAGTGTTGTAAAAGATTTATAATCACATGCAAAACAGAAAACCTATCGCATCCCATGTATTCACACAATTAAAAAATCCAAACGTGGACACTAGTCTCTAAAATCCACAATCGGACATTAGTGTCCAAAATCTAAAATGGGACACTTTTATCTAAATTCCAAGATCGGACAGTAGCTTCGAAAATCCAAAATAGGAATCAGACACTAGTATCCAAAATCCAGCATGGGACACTTGCATGTAGAATCCAAACTCGGACAGCAGTGTCAAAAATCCAAAATCGTACGTTAGTGTACAAAATAAAAAATCGTACGCTACTGGTTTCGCCTCCTATCATATCAGAGACAGTAGCCACAACAAGAACAAGGATGATAACAAAATTTGTCAGTAGCTATAACCCTGAAATCACAAAGGATGAGAACTCAATTGTTTGTCGAGTGCCGGAATGCCGAACAACTAAGATACTCCAAAAACCATAAATAAATTGCACCGGATAAGGGCGGGATATTATGCCCTGAACCTGGGATAAACGCCAGCAAGATGGGCTCTTTGACTGGTAAGCTCATTTGATCTCTAGCTGTCAAGAGGCTAATATTTTTTTACAGTAGTTTAGTGCAGTAGAAAAGGCAATCAAACTATTCTGAAGTGGCTCACTTAACTCAATCTTCATCGTCTGTAACATGCAAAAATTTTTTTTTTTTATGATAAAGTCTGATAAGGCAAACGCCTGCCTTCCTTCAGTTAATCGAAGGTATGTCTGATCTTACCCTGCTCCTACAGGGAAATTTCGTAAACTTCCTGTGTGCGGACATAGAGAGAATTCTGTGGAGCTTGAGTTTCTCAAATTAACGGTAATTTGTTAACCAATTGTCATACAGAGAAACCCGTAAAATGATCTTAATCAATGCTTTGCCCAGACACGTTCAAAGAGGATCAAATTTTTTGGCAGATTTTCAATGACCTTTGTGTTCCTGTTTCACTGAATCGCAATAGACAGAAGAGGCAAGAAAATGGAGTCGAACTCAAAGTCCTCCGAAGCGTATCGCACTCGCGATCTTTTTCCTTCTGTGAAACCCTCTTATCTGTCTCTCAATTTAGTCTTTGTGTGCATAATCCTTCTGTTGAGGAACGAATCTACAAACTATCGTTTGTTAGCGTTGGAAAAACAGATAAAGGTTTTGTCAACGAAGCAGAGCTGTGCTGAGAGTGGCTCTTATGCAAATCGCAACGAAATGTCCGTCAAGCCGCAACTGGATCCTGATCAGATTTTTGCCAGGAGGATCAAGACTCCTGTTGCAAAGAAGCTTGATTATCCCTCAGGTAGAGAAATTTGCAAAACATTTGGTATAACTTTTATTTTGATGATCAGCAGGAGAAGTAGAAGTAAGAATCTAAATTGAATGTGTTCTTTGATAACGCTATATCCATTTTAATCTCTTGATTGTGCCAACTAGAGGAGAAGGTCAGTATCCAACGACGCTCAAAACTTGAAGTGTATTTTCGAAACTTTATATTTTCCATATGGCTGATGCAAACTTGCATGCAACCTTAATGAGAGAACGCAGTAGCGTAGTTGGGCAATCGAGCCATGAACTGTGTTATCATATAACTTGTCGCGTAACTTGAGCGCAACATACAGTCAACTGTTGTTGGTTTTCGTCTGCAAAATGCTTTAAATAGCTCAGCATGAGCATTGGCTTCACTTCATTTTCCTGTCAGCTCGAAAGTGTCAGCAGCTCTTCATCAGTAGCTACGACTTCAGGAGGAAAATGACATTTAAGTTACCTAGACCTAAGACCGATATGGTCAAGAAATCATGCTCATACAAGTCAATTACTCGGTGGAACGCTCTGGAAAATCAAATGAGATCAATTCAAGACGTTGACGCTTTTAAAAAGTCACTCAAGTGTATTTTTAAGCCACGTATGTTATAATGATGTACTATGTAGAATTTTTATTGTTGAAAATATGTAGAAATCTTACACTAGTCTTCTTATAATTAGTTAGGAATTTAGTTTTATTGGATTTAGTTAGGAATTTAGTTTTATTGTCCGTACACGACCACATCAGCTTTTGCTGAATTTTTTATCGTGTTTAAATAAATGCTGTTGTTGTTGTTGTTGTTGTTGTATCCACAGGACGTATAAACAGATATTACAAAGGTGCTTTCGTCGGCTTGAGGCCGAGGTCATCAATGTTTGCTTTGATTTATAAGTTGAAGTGTTCTTGACAGCTGTAGTCATGACTAAGTTTTAACCGATAAATCAAGTCGAACAGTGGCTGAGTTTATGAGGATCGAATTCATGCTATCTGTAGTTAGTTGGCAGCAAATAGACTGCGTAATATTTCCAAAATTAAATCATGATAATTCATTTATTTTCATTCAGTTAATCCACTGTTTATATCTATCTGTATTTGATTCCAAGGACTTCTTTCATTTCTGTTTTTGTCTTTTAGTTCACACATAATTCTATTGATTTTTTTGCAGTATCCCTCAGTAAGTCCTATTCAGAAATGTTACGCACAGTTACTAACTGTGCGTAACATTTGACAATATAGTAGCCTGGTGGACTCATCTGATTTTGTAATGATAATATTGTCATCTGCACGCTAAATCAAATATCAGTTCAATATAAATAGGAGGTAAATTCATTTCTTTAAGGTGAAAGCGGGCGGGACAAAATTACCAAGGCCACAAGGACTCGCAGGCATGTTTCAAATGTTATCACAATTGATGACGTACGCAATGAAATCGCCAAGCACCTTGAACAGCTCATTCCCACAAAGTATTGCAAGTCAACCGAAAAAGTCTGTCCAGCAGGCCCCCCCGGAAGCCCTGGCGTCCAAGGTGCGAAAGGGAAACGTGGCAGGAGGGGAACACAAGGGAAAAGAGGACTACAAGGTAATATGGGTCCACCAGGTAGGCATGGAAAACCGGGGATGACTGGACCTGTCGGACCAAAAGGAGTGAAAGGGGACCGGGGAGAGCAAGGCCCGAAAGGCATGCCAGGACCGCCCGGTAGACCCGGAGAGTCAATATCTGCCCCAAAAGTCACGACATCACCTGCTGAACAGACTCGAGATGAAGGAAGAAATGCAACGTTTTACTGCACAGTTTCTGGGAACCCACGTCCTCAAGTCGAATGGAGATTCAAGAGTGCGAAGCTTGTCTCTGGATCAGAACACTTGATTAAAGATGGGGAATTGACAATTAAACGTTTAAAGTACAGTGATGCCGGACAATACTATTGTGTCGCCACAAATGTCCTTGGATCACACGAAAGTTATGGAAATTTAAGTGTTCGAGGTGAGGACAAAATTCGCTGAAACTGATTAGAAGGCATTATTTTCATTTTACAATGGAATGGCTCTTATATTGTCATTTCCAAGCCAAAGCTGATTTGAACCACCCCATAGATACCTAAACCAACCACTGAGAATTTTGTCGAGATAAAATACCCTGCCATTACAACATTACATCAATACGGCACAGTATACTTCCTGGATCAGTAGGGTCGTATTACAACAGGAAAGAACGTTAGTTAATTTTTCTCTTTCACTCATATTTCAATCATGCTCTGCTGGCTTGATACAGGTCTTCCTATTTTCACCGTGGTACCTCCATCTCTTGCAACACCAAAGGAGAGTTCTACCTTCCAACAAGCTTGTCAAGCTGAAGGGTTTCCACCTCCTACCATAAGTTGGCGCAGATCTGGGCTGTCTTTACCAACTGGAAAGACTGTCATAAGTAATGGAAGCCTCGTGATAAATAATATTTGCCCTGTTGACAGTGGATTGTATGAATGTGAGGCAACAAACAGTCTGGGTTCAAAGAAAACCTCCATGAACGTGGTAGTGCAGCAGCAACCGCCCAAAGATCTTGGAGGTTTTTGTTTATATGCTTACTTTAAGCATTACTCTCGGTGTTTAAGCATTCTTTGAATAATGGGAACGTTACCCTTGAAAACCCTTCGGAATTCCTTTAATACTGGACTAATGAGGAAAGAAAAGTAGCGCTGCGCGCTCGTTCGATTTTAAAATCACGCGTGTTATTTCAGACCTAATATTCATGAAAAAATTAGGCGCGTCTGATTGCCTGTAAACGAGTGCATTTTTTATGTTACACGAACGCAAAGTTGTAATACAAGTGCCAATTTTTATGTACTTTATCAACAAGAAGTAACATGTTTTCTATTGCAATTTGGTATAATAAGTATAGGTAATAACATGATTTCTAATGCGATTTGAAGTAAATAAGCGCGGATAAATTTTTCAAAGACAGCAAAATTGTACGAGCCCGTAGGGCAAGTGGAGTTTGTAGTCTTTAAAAAATTTACTCGTGCTTATTTTTACACCAAATTGCAAGAGAAATCTTGTAAATAATGTAGATGAGAAAACATCACAGAAAGTCATGATAGATGAAATTTTGCAAGCGTGCGCGCGCTATTTGTAATTTGCACTCGTGTTACACGAGAATGCACTCGTTTTCAGCCAATCAGAAGTGCGTAATTGGTTCATGTACATTATTAGCACTTGTAAATCTTTCATTAACACCAACCTGCACTCGAAATCATGTTGTTACCTATTCAAATTGCACTCCACTTGGTTCAGTTACCATGTACGACCGGTGGATGTAATAGACTCGACCAATATTTTTTTTCATCTCTTCTTGTCAAAATAGTTATGAACCAACTATCTCTACATGAACACCTGAGCTGTTGGGTAGTTCAGAAGTAAAAAACCTACAATCATTTAGCGATCTATACAATCATTCCTATCATTTTCGTTTAAAGCCATATCAACTTATTTTTCAATAGATTACGACTGCTGGCGCAGCAGATCCGAAAGTCCAGGCAGAGGCTGGAACCACAGTCCTGGCAACATCGACGCAGTCGATTTCCAAACAAGTAGTGACGTCACACTGCTGGGATACCGTCTGTGGGGAGTGGACCGAGGTTCAACCACTTTCCAGGCTACCGTTCGATTATATCGTGGAAGCTCCTTGATCGAAGAAAAGACTGGATCCTACTACACCACATCCTCAGTAAAAACGTTTGAAGTTCGTTTTTCTCAGGGCATTTCTCTTCGTGCAGGTGTATTATACACAGCAACATCACAATTAACCACAAATGGTCATCAAACGCATGCTCATACAGATGGTATGCCGAGTATTTCATGTGCAGGTATCACTGTAACGTTTGCGAAATCATCCAAAGATAACAACGGATCAGATGTATCCAATGGCCAAATACCAGCGCTGATCTTAAGTTCCCCGGCCAGTCATTGCTAAAAGTAGCTTTCACAGTTTCCACTCACATTATTAATTTTGTTTATTTTTATTTAATCTGAGATGTTTCACACATTGCCGGTAGATCTCAATAACTTGTATAGAAAACGCTGGAGCAGGTCACCATACGTACATTTGTATCGTGAAAGTTCCTTGATCGCACAAAAGACTGGATCCCATTGGAACACATTCGCAATGGAGACGGTTGAAGTTAACCTGCGGAGCAAGCGTTATTTTGGCGAGCGAGTGCTCAGTAATTTCTTAGCGAAAATCTTGTCTGCCATCTTTCATTTTAAAGGCAGCGGAAGGCAGGGAAGAGAAAGAAATTGGTACCCCCACTGCCTCTATCTCCGAATCAAATGTGGCCGGTTGAATAAATGATTGCAAGCTTCGTAAGGTTAACTCACCCTTGTAAGACGTCGCACTGCAGGCTGGTTTGAAGTTCGTATTTCTCTAGGGACTTCTCTTCATGCAGGTGTTTTATACACTGCAACACCTAAGTTGATTACACATGGTTGTCAAACTTATCATCTTACCAATGGTTTATCGAGTACTTCATGTTCTGAGGTTAATGTTACCTTTAAAGACACGAACTCATCAAATATATCTCAAGGTCAAATACCAGTTGTGATCCTTTTTCCCAGTAACTGCTAGGAGGGAATTTCATAGTTTCACTCACAAACCCATTTTGTATAATTTGATGAAACATTTTTACCCATTTCAATTCATTTTAGAATATTTTTATAGTTAACACTGATGAAAAATATATATATATTTCTTAATACCAGCGCCAGCAAGTTAATTATTTAGCATAAATTAACCCTGATGATGAAGAAGACAGTTGGTGACAGTAATATCGATAAGGAAACAAGTAATAAGAGATGCCGCTTTCATTGCTGTCGTAGTCATATTTTAACCTTTCGGGATTCCCATGAGTGACCAAGACAGAACCTCTCCTTATAATATCAATACAATATCAAGCAGACGAGTGATGAGAAAATAGAAAGATATCAGTTTGGGGATCCAATGCCAAATTGTCCCAACTAACATCTTAAGAATAGTTTAGCAGACTGTAAAAAAAAAATTTGTGAGATATTGAGAGGGAGAAAGTTAACAGCGAGAAGACGGACTGTGTGAAACTAAGCCAATCAAATCAACGATACGGTAAAGTTCAAAATAAGGTTTGATCAGAATTCAAGACTAACGTGCGGGTGATCAGTTTAAAATACTTTTGCGTCGATTGTCGCAAGTAGCATTTTGTCACGTACTCTAATGAGTGTTTCTTTTTTTTTCATAACCTCAACAGTTATTAAACTCATGCGCTAATTGTGAGAGGAATGAACAATTCTAATACTGCACAAGGCACAGCCAAGCGGATACCTTTTGTTTACTACCGCTACCGGTAAAGTTTCATGAGATTCTTGGGGAGGGCTGGGAAGTCATCATTGCATGAAAATGTTGCGTTATTTTAGCTTAGTGACGTAATCACATGCAAAACAGAAAACCTATCGCATCCCATATATTCACAAAGTCAAAAATCCAAACGTGGGCACTAGTGTCAAAAATATATAATCGGACGCTAGTGTCCAAAATCCAAAATCGGACACTATAGTAACCAAAATCCAAGTCCTCTGTCTTTTCAAATGAGATATTTAAAATTTCCTTCAGAAGATCGGGGGGAAGTCGCGAAGGCCAAGGGCTGAATGCACTCAAATTATGATCGCTCGGTGCGCTGGAATTAGCTTTAAGCTCTGGCTGGTTATTAGCAAACTGTCAGAGAAACCTGAAGAAAAATGAGGGGGGGGGGGGGGTAGTGCCGAGGTCCTCAATGGAGCAAGCGTGATTTTTGCATAAGGGCGGGATATCATTCCCTGAATCCAGGATAAATCCCAGCAAGATGGGCTTTTTGACTCGTAAGCTCGTTTGATCTCTAGCTGTCAAGAGGCTAATATTTTTTACAGTAGTTTAGTGCAGTAGAAAAGGCGATCAGACTATTCTTAAGTGGCTCACTTAACTCAATCTTCATCGTCTGTAACATGCAAAATCTTTTTTTTTTTTTTTGTGATGATTATGTCTGATAAGGCAAACGCCTGCCTTCCTTCGGTTAATCGAAAGTATGTATGATCTAACCCTGCTCTTACAGGGAAATTTTTAGTAAACATCCTGTGTGACATAGAGAGAATTCTTTGGGCTGGAGTTTCTCAAATTAACGGTAACTTGTTAACCATTTGATTAACAAATAAACCCGTAAAATGATCTTAATCAATACTTTGGTTATCTGCCCGGACGTGTTCAAAGAGGATCAAATTTTTTGGCAGATTTTCATTAACCTTCGTGTTCCTGTTTCACTGAAACGCAACAGACAGAAGAGGCGAGAAAATGGAGTCGAACTCAAAGTCTTCCAAAGCGTATCGCGCTCACGATCTTTTTCCTGCTTTGAAACCTTCTTATCTGTCTCTCAGTTTAGTCTTTGTGTGTATAATCCTTCTGTTGAGGAACGAATCTACAAACGATCGTTTGCTAGCGTTGGAAAAACAGATGAAGGTTTTGTCAACAACACAAAGCTGTGCTGAGACTGGCTCCGATGCAAATCGCAACGAAATGTCCGTCAAGCCGCAACTGGATTCTGATCAGATGTTTGCCAGGAGGATCAAGACTCCTGTTGCGAAGAAGCTTGATTATCCCTCAGGTAGAGAAATTTGCAAAAAAATTTGTCAAACTTTTATTTTGACTATCAGTAGAAGGAGTAGAAGTAACTATCTAAATTAAATATGTTCTTTGATGACACTGTATCCTTCCAAGTCTTTTGATCGTGCCAACTTAAAGAAAAGGTGAGTACCCAACGTCGAGATTTCCAAGATAACAAGCGAGAAAAAATGTTAAGTAATCTTCCTAGTTCCTTTTGACGCTCAAAACTTAAAGTTTATTTTAGAAACTTTATATTTTCCACTGATGTAGCTGATGCAAACTCACATGCAACCCTAATGAAAGAACGCGAGTAGCGTAGTTGAGCAAACGAGCCTTGGACTGTGTTATCCTATAACTTGCCGCGTAACTTGAGCGCAACATACAGTCAACTATGGTTGGTTTTCTTTTGCAAAATGCTTTAAATAGCTCAGCGTAAGCATTGGCTTCACTTCATTTTCCTGTCAGCACGAAAGTGTTGGCAGCTCTGCATCTACAGGATGTAGAAACAGATATCACAAGGGTGCTTTCGTCTGCATGAGGCCGAGGTCATCAATGTTTGTTTTGATAAGCTGAAGTGTTTCGTTAATTGAAGCAAACTAAAAAGACGGCCGTAGTCATGACTAAGTTTTTACCGATAAATCAAGTCGAACAGTGGCTGAGCTTATGAGGATCGAATTCATGCTGTCTGTAGTTAGTTGTCAGTAAATATACTGCGTAATATTTTCAAAAATGAAATCATGATAATTCATTTATTTTTCATTCCGTTAATCCACTGTTTATATCTATCTGTATTTGATACCATGGACTTCTTTTGTATCTGTTTTGGTCTTCTCGTTCACACATTATTCTGTTGATTTTGTCCGGTATTCCTCATTAAGTCCCATCCACAAATGTTATTTACATTTACGGCGTAGTAACTTGGTGGACTCATTTGATTTTGGAATGATAAAAACTTCATCTGTTCCCTAAATCAAATATCAGTTCAATATATAGGAGGTAATTTATATTCTGCACTGACTTAAATACGCAAAATGACGGCAAGGTACTAGCATATGTCCTGTGTGGTAAGCGCCGTATATCCGAAACCCAATTTTTTAAATTTTTATTAAACATTTTTACCCATTTTAATAAATCTCAGGTCTAAATTGATTTCAAGATATCATTATTACCGCTGATGAAAAGATATTTTTTTCCAAGATAAGAAATCGTATAGACGAGCTACGCACAAATGCACTTCGGCCTATGCCGACCGGCCTCGCAACATCTTGGAAAACTTACATTCAGCAGTTTTCTTTTCCTGTCAATTGAAAATTGCTGTTCTTGTTGTTGCTTTGATTTTTTTTTGCTTATTGACCATGCAATGTTGACCAACTAGTTTTTGTCTGACCGCTCTCGTATGTCGTTGTGCTTGTTTCTTCAACTTTGGTTTCTTAATGTCTTGAGTTGCCTTTCAGCAACTTAGTAAACTCGTCCTAAATCTATCTGAAAGAAAATGTGAATTGTTTTCAATAAGGATGATAAATATCACTAATTTCTTCAGGTAAAAGTCAACAAAACCGACCGGACACACCTATCATGGTAAGCAGAAATCGCAGGAAAGCTCCTGCAAGTTTACCTAATGTCATCACAATTGATGACGTACGCAGAGAGATCACCAAGCACTTAGAACAGCTCATTCCTACAAAGTATTGCAAGTCGACCGAAAAAGTCTGCCCTTCGGGTCCCCCCGGAAGCCCTGGCGTTAAAGGTGTAAAAGGATCTCGTGGTAGGAGGGGACCACGAGGAAAACAGGGACGACAGGGTATTATGGGTCCACCAGGTAGGCATGGAAAGCCAGGAATGGCTGGACCTGTTGGACCGAGAGGGGCAAAAGGAGACCAGGGCGAGCCAGGCTCGATAGGCATACCAGGACCACCAGGTAGTCCTGGAGAGTCAATATCTGCCCCACAAGTCACGATATCACCTGCTGAACAGACTCAAGATGAAGGAAAGGATGTGAAGTTTTATTGCTCGATTAGTGGGAATCCACCTCCCAGATCTGAATGGAAGTTTAGGGGCAGGAAGCTTATTTCAGGCTCTAAACATGTGGTCAACGATGGAGCATTGACCATTAAACGTTTGAACTACAGTGATGCTGGACGGTATTCTTGTGCTGCGACTAATATCCTTGGATCGCATGAAGGGTCAGGAAATTTAACTGTTCGAGGTAAGAATGTTATATCCACTTTTGATTCCTTGTCAGGAGCGTTCCTTTATATCTAATGGCATGAAAAGGATGGATTTAACGGTAAAATATGTAAGTTTTAAGGACTTCTAATATGAAAATACCCAAACCGAAGACTACACTGCCTGACCATTTCACATTCGAATTATGTACAGGGACAATTCCGAAAAGGAATTGGAGAGAAACTGATACGACCCTTCGTACCTTTCCCTTAATTGTTAAGAGGTTTCCGGTGAGCCTGAATAGATTATCCTCCGTAGAGGTTCATCAATTACAGTTTTTCTAATCATACATATGTATTATGTAGGTCTTCCTATTCTGATCTCTCCACCACCGTCTGTCATCACGCCAAAAGAGTATTCCACTTTGAACGAGACATGTCAAGCTAAAGGGTTTCCACGTCCCTCCATAAACTGGACCAGGCTAGGAATGGCCTTCCCTGCAGGGAAGACTACAATCAGTGGAGGCAGCCTAACTATAAATAACTTGAGTCCTGCCGACGGTGGAGTGTACGAATGTAGAGCGACAAACAGCATGGGTACAACGAAAACAAAGATGAACGTGGCAGTGCAACGACAACCGATGCTTAAAGGTTTGTATAGCCTCGGCATTTGCTTGGTGACAGACTTTTCGACAGACTAACTTTCTTAATGACTGGTTCACTAGCGTCTAACAAAATGGCTTAGGCTTAAGTCTCCCGCCGAATTTGAATATAGTTTCACTCGGAATACGTTATAGCTTACTGACATCCATACGCAGCTCGTCCATGATCGAATGTTTCGCCCTCTTCAAAACCGTCTATAAGCCATAATATGATAAAGCACCGTCGGGTCGTTACCACGAATTCTAAAACCTCAGCTAGGCCGTATCGCTTGGTCAGTGCAGTAGGTCTTCAGTGTGATATTTTCACGTAATGACCTCACTGTCAGTTGTAAGCGTTCAACAATTTAGAGTAACATTCCCTCCTTGATACTTGAACTGCATGATACAATAAATCAAGGAGCTAGAAACGACCATCATCTAAGCACTCCTGCAAACCTAAAAGGAGCAAATAACTTCAAACCTGGATAAAAGTATGCACAAAGGTTCACCCATAAAAAAATTTTAGCTATTCATGTGACTTCCACTTCCTCACATTTTCATTTTGATGGTCTGTTTGATTTCATTATTTTTATCATTATTATTATTACTACTGTTATCATTACTTTTTGTCATTATCATTGTTACTATTATCAGTATCGTTATTAACACTTTTATCAATACCCTGAATTACTATAATCATTATTATTAACATTATTATCGTTATTATTATTATCATCTTATAATCATTCTTATTATCATCATTATTACTATTATCATTATTTTATATTCTTTATTTGCTATAATTCCTAAAAATATTCACAAAAAATCATGATAAATTTCTTAAAAATCGAAAAATACATTAAAATGTTTAATAAAAATTTAAGAAAGAACTAACGGATGCACGCTTCGTTTACGTTTACTTCTTGAACTTTAAAGGTGGAAAAGATAATAAAAGAAATAAATGTTGTGTAAATGTTATAATAAGTCATTATTAATTTTTTATTGTTATCATTATTGTCACCATTATTATTATATCAATTGCTGTAGTTCTATTACTGTTTCTTTTTCTTATTTTTATTCTCACGTTGACGTTGCGTTTTACTGAGTTATGATTGCTGGAGAGACCTGCACACCTCAAAGTCCTAAATATGAATAGAGATCATTTTTGTTTACCATACATTTCGATTTCCTTCAATTTTACCGCTCATTTTGATTTTTCTTTTCACTCACTCGACTGTGATTGCTGACGTAACCTTGGATCTCGAATGGTCGGTTCCAATTTGAGAGACTCCTCCTCTATATCCTCTTCCTTCTTAGCACTTTCATGGAAGAGAAACAATTTCGTCCACAGCAACCGAAATCTCCCCTTTAGTGATGAAAATTCACTCAAGCACATTATATAAAATCATACAAGTGACATCGATCAGAGCTCATCGTCGATCCAGCTCGGATGCTATTGACTATTTCTGTTGCTTTTGTTGTTTTCTACTTGTTACTATTATTTATGTAACCTACAGTTGTTATTAACTTCTCGTCTTGAAATGTTATTTTATCATACAGATTGTGACTGTTGGCGAACTCGTAACCCTCAAAGTGCTAGTGGAAATTGGGGATACTCTTCCATCGGATCTTCCACCTCTCCAGGAAATGTTGACGCTATCGATTTCCAAACGAGTGGTGATGTTCTTCTGAAAGGATATCGACTTTGGGGAGTCAACAGCGGTTCAACTACTTTCCAGGTCACCATTCGATTGTATCAGGAAGGTATCTTGATTGGCGAGAGGACTGGGTCCTACTTCACCAGAGCCTCTGACAGGACATTCAAAGTGTATTTTTTACAGGGAATTTCTATTCGAGCAGGTCTTAGTTACACTGCAACAGCTAAGATAGTAACAAATAAACTAACTTATTATCTCGAGAATGGTATGTCAAGTACGTCATGTTCTAAGGTTACAGTTACCTTTAAAAAATCTTCAAAAGACTCCAACTCATCTAGTGTATCTAGAGGCCAAATACCGGCTCTAATTTTCCGTTCCCTGCAATGTCAAAAATAGAATCACTACTAATCGAAATTTATGAATAAGATGGAAGTCTGATCTAATTAAATAAAGAGAAGAAGCCTAAATAAGGTAAATAGAGGAAGCCTAATCTGAGACGTGACCCGTTTACAACAATTGAATTTTGTAGCCTGTTGGTCGTTTTCCTTATGAAGTCATACGTAAGATTGTTAGGTTAGTAAAACGCGATTATTACATATTGGATCATAACTTGAGAAATCTATGGGCTCAAGAACGAAAAAAGGAAAAACCTTATTTTAATTTTCCAAGAGAATTCCAGTTGTCGTGCCTTACGTCAGTTGTAATGTTCAATGAGATCGTCTGAGTGAGGATATCAGCCATTACCGACAACCGTCCTTCTCAAGCTCTTCCTCCGCTCAGAGAGTTACGCAAGGCAAACAAATATTATGTTTCTCATCAACTTTCTCTTTACAAGATGCAACTGGCCTTAATATCTGAACCCGAAAAGTTTAGATAAAAAGACATCTTATTTCTTTCTTTAATAGTAATTTCAATAAGTACCTGTTACAGTAGTCAATCTTGAAATAACTTATGTATTTCTTAATTACGTTATGAGTAAAACTTTTTATAATCTTTCAATATGGTCAACTAGCTAAGGCAAAAATATGGGCAACTAACTGTGGTATTATTACTGTGAGTCAGTAATGTTCGTTGTGGAGGACAATGTATAGTATTCGGTAGTAAAACTGTTAAGAAAACATGCTGTAATGTAAGTTTTATGATGTAATGTTATTAGCTATGATTTAGACTGATTTTGTAAAAAACAAAGATAATAGTCATAATGTTTATGATGATTAATGACAAAAAAGGCATAACGAAATTTTTAACTAGGGAGAACTTTTAATTTTATGGGTCATGTTATACAGTGGCAGTGTAAATAATAATTAACAATAAATATACACCACACAGGTGAATAGTGCTTTTCGCGCGTGATGATCGGCTAATTTGGAAATGGATAGCAAGTACTATTTACCTCCGAGACAAATCGCGCGTTAAGAGTTAATTATTCATCTCAGTGTCGTTGAAAGTAGTGGATGAATACCTCAACGCTTCGCGGCTAAGTAAATATCGACTAACATTCGCCTCCACTTTGGTGAATAATAATTTTAAAAAGTTGTTATTGGTGCTGATAACCGTATTTGCAGTCGAAGTATTTCCTAGCTCTCCATTATGACGGAGCCATCGCATGACAGTCATTGTTATGAAACTGACATATATCTTTGAATCATTGTCAGTTCGAAATTCCAGAGAGGGACCACAGAACAAAACACTACTTGCTACTTAAAAGAACCTGTACAAAGCGAACATCGTGTAGGCTTATAGTACAAAAAAAACAGGTCTGTTCACTTAATTAGAAAAAGAAGGAAGATTTTAAATGTTGGTTAAACAAATTTGCAGTATCAAATAAACTTTTCAGATTTTCATCGTCAGTTTTGTTTTGATCTCGCTATCCCATCCGTTTTTTGGCATATAGACAAAACATTCAGGCCCCAGGTAGATCAGACTTAAAAAAAAAAGTGTATTGATTTAAACAACCTCACACGACGTACCACATATCCAATGTCAGAAGCAGCTGGAATATTACGGACTGCATTCAGACCTGTATCATCGCTCACGATTTGTCCACAACGGTCGCAGATTGAAAGAGGAATGGAAACCTCAAAGGATCATCGCATTCGAGATTTCTTTCCTCACTTAAGGCCTTCGTATTTGTCCATCTTCTTACTGTTCATTTCTGGAATTCTATTCCTTCGGAATGACGCAACAAATGATCGTCTGTTCGCGCTGGAACTAAAGATCATCAGTCTCACAAAGGAATGCATCGCTCCCGAGATGAAAGCTGCACGAAGCGGACAGATGGTCGTAACACTCGGTGTTAAGAAGAACAAGCGACGTGGAATGACGCCACCGCAGTCTCGACTTTCTTCATCAGGTTAGTTTACAGATTAATTGCTGAAGGTGTCATGTGTTGCTCTGAAAGCACCACACTGAATCGAGGAATAATCTAGCAATAATGGATACAAAACTGCACTTGAAAAAAAATGTTACCTACGATATTTTTGGCCTCTATCTATTTCTCGTGAGCAGAAATACTAGTCCAACTCGAACTAAAAACTAATTAATTAGGATTTAGGACCTTCGATATTTTAAGGGACATGATCGTGTCAAATATTTTAGTGCGAATTTTGGGATTCAAATTCAAATAATCTGTTTTTGCGGGAAATTTATATTTTAAATGAAACTGCATTTTCTGACTCCAGACTCAAAGAAAGGAAATATCTTGTTTAGATATTCACAATGTCGGAGAAGTCAGTTATACCGGATATCTACGCATTTTACATTACCTAGTTTCCTAATATTTCTGACCTATTGTTAATTTCACTGACCCATAACCGGATCATCTCAAACAGCGAAATGACATCTGCCAAAAGCGTCTGGCAGAGAAGAAGGGGTTTTGTACTCACAAACTCCCGAAAGGCTTTCCGAGCTTTGTTTGATGGTGGAGTTAAAAAGCAATCGGCGATGCTACATCAGAAAAACTCCCCATCATCTTAAATTGACTTTTGAACAAAGAATTTCATGGAAATGATTTTTTGAAATCGTGGAACGTCACTTGGGTAATATCACCAAAAAGTTCCTAGTTTTAGTTCTTGAGTATTCACTAGTCTGTAATCTGTAGTCTTGCCAGACCCCCCTTCAAAGTGTTGTAAAGCGTTTTAAGGCATTGGTATGGATAATACGCTATATATTGATGCTTCATCATTACATCGTAGTTGACCTAACGCGTTTAGAGCGATTGCACGCAAACGAGATAGTTGATGGATCATAAAAAATTATTCTGAAAGTTACGTCATAGGCGGCTCATGAAGCTTACTGTGTGATTTGAGGTTTAAAAGTAAGTCATTAACGGGAATACTAAGTAAATACAGTCGACTTTCGCCCTGCGCACACCTCGCTATTACGGACACCCCGCCATTGCGGACAGGAGCCAGCCCCCCAGTGAAACGCATAAAGAAATGACTGATACAAACTCACGTTATTACGGACTCACGCTAATATAGAAATATGGACACTTTCATGCCCCTCCCCCCTCCCCAGCGCAACAGTTAAATTTGTTTTTCTCTCACCTTAGCGGACTTTTAAGTACTTCGTCTAAAAGAGTACTTCGAGAAAAGAAAATAAAGAAACCATTCTTCAACTAGGTGCGAACATGATAATTTCCGTCTTGCGGCCTGATCCTTTTTTCGGTTCATGAGGCCACGTTAGAAACTTTATATTTACGTAGATACATATGATTTCAGATTTTTAAAGACAACCAATTTTTTTTCTCTCGAACCCGCTATCATGGACTCTCACTATTACGGACACTAAATTTCCCCTAAGAGGGTGCCCGCAATAACGGGAGTCACTTGTACCAGCACATCACGCGGCACAAAGTAAGTCGACAAATTACGTTTAAACGGTAAGAAGTGACGAGGCGGCTAGGGAAGAATGGTTGAGAGACTTAACACTTTATATTTCTCGCTTTTCTCGATTTTGTTATTATTTCCTTCTTTTCTTTACGCCACACGCTTACGCTTAAAATTCAATCTTAATTTATAAGTTATATTCCTGTAAATGGTGCGCTTGGGCCGCCTGTGGTTACATATGACTTATCGCGGATATTAAGTCCAGGACACCTAGGTTCTCGCATAGAAATATTTGCTAACCACCAATTTTTTCTTTATTGAGTTTAGAGCCCTATGGAGAGTCTTCCAAAAGTTCTGTTCAAAGATTTCGGAGAAGTGCCACAGGCAATAATACCGCGAGCTTAGCTATTGAAGATTTACGTCGCGAGATCGCCTTCCAATTGGGAATATTCCTTCCAAGTCAATACTGCCGATCAAATGAGAAGGTATGTCCCGCTGGTCCCCCCGGAAGTCCTGGTCGAAAAGGTCCGAAGGGACCTCGTGGAAGGAGGGGGCCGAAGGGGACAAAAGGAAAAAAAGGAATTCAAGGTAATATTGGCTTACCAGGAATTCACGGTAAGCGAGGAATGATGGGTTCCCTTGGACCAAGGGGAATAAAAGGCGACCGAGGGGAGCCAGGCCCGAAAGGTGATGTTGGGATTCCCGGGAATCGAGGAATACGGGGAACAATGGGAGGTCCAGGACCTAGAGGAGAAAAGGGAGAAAAAGGGGGTTCTGGTGAGATGGGAATTCCGGGTCCTCCCGGTATTCCCGGTCGAACGGTTTCTGCGCCGGAAGCTATTCTATTGCCAGTCACAGCTATAATCGACGAAGGAGGAAGCATGACTTTTAATTGCACAGTTGGTGGAAATCCAGCACCAAAGGTCACATGGAAATTTGAGGGGAACATACTATGGACAGGATCAAAGTATGCCATAGACAAAGGATTACTGATCATCAACGAGCTGAAGTTCAATGATACTGGTTTTTACTCTTGCGTTGCGGCGAGTGCTTTGGGGTCTGATGAGGCATTTGCAAACCTTACGGTGAGAGGTAAGGTGACTTTCATCGACTATTTTTTCTAACTTTTTTTATTAAAAAAATTGAGAAGTTACAAATCTTTTGAATTCTAACGACGATAAGAACTAGTAGCTAACTAAGAAGAAAAACTCCGCATTGGTAAACAATTTAAAAAACAAACTATTTTAGCCCTGAGCCGCTTTCTCAGTCACAATTTCTGATTTTTTATTGCGACTCTTTTCTTGTAGCGGCGCCAATCTTTACTAAGAAACCTCCAGCAGTTTCTATGCCACTTGAAAGCACAGATTTTTTTGAAACGTGCCAAGCTGAAGGATTTCCTCCTCCAGTTTCAAACTGGACACGACTTCTTCAGCCATTACCTCCAGCAAGGACCGAAGCATGGGAAGGAAATCTCACTATAAAAAATCTGAGTACCACTGACAGTGGACTGTATGAGTGTACCGTGACGAACGCCATGGGCGTGAAGAGGACCAGGATGAATCTGGTAGTACAAAAAGGAGGTTAGTCATGTTCATCTAAAATAGACTCATTTTCTTAATGAAGGGAAAAGTAATAATGTTTCTGTTGGCTCCAATATCGTCTGGGAAGGGTTAGGTGTCTAAAGAAACTGTCGTGTTGCGTCAGTGAGAGGTTTTACATGATAATTAGATCTTACCATTTGAGTTGATAACGTGTATTGGCCACCGTATAGAGATTCTACAGATGATGTTCTTCTGGAAAGCCTCGACACCTTTATCCCTCCAGGTAGAGAATTTTTAAAACTTTTTGGTGCTTTAATTCGATCTGAACTCGTCTTTTGGAATTTTAATTAACTGCTAACCAAAAATGTTGCAATATGCCCATCTTAAAAAAACAATGAAAGGACTATTGCGATCCGCTTTTAACCTGAATTAGCGATCATCTCGATCTCACCCATTAATTAAATCAAGATATTATAACAAAAAGACAGTTATTCAAACCCCCGTCATCGAAATAATTTCTTACCCCAATGACAGTGAAGTTGATTACCCCTATTGGCATGACATGCTTAACTCAGAAAATAGAAGGAAACCTTAATTTTTTTTCACAGTGGATTGTAGCTGCTGGCGTTCGAAAGAGAATTATCCAACAGTTCGAAGGTTCTACAGACATTATTCTGACGTAGTGGAGGATTCTTCTGTCGATGCCTTTGATTTCCAGACAAGTGGTAATACTATTTTACGCGGTTTTCATATGTGGAAAGATAACAGGTTGTTTCCTAGTAGCACTTTCACCATCGAGCTCTATCAAGGAAATACAACTGTAGCCAAGAGGTCTCACACTTATGATGCAAGCTTTTCGACTAAGAAAACATTTGAGGTGTATTTTCCTAAAGGAATATTTTTGCAAGAAGGTTTAAACTACACTGCTGCAGTAAGAATGAAAGGAAGAAAATATAACACTGCAGTTAATAACGCATTGAAATATAATTTTTGTTCTGGGGCTAATGTCACTTTTTGGAAGTCCTCTTTTGGTAGATCAGTTTCAAGTTCTTATGTGCGTCAAATACCAGCTCTTATCTTCCTCAGTTTAAAATGCTGAACGAAACATTTCTGTTTTGGGATTTTTCAAAGTGAAACATTGAAAGCTTCTATAATACCATTTGTACTTAGTTCTCATGGTCTAAATGTGGTAAAGATACGTTTCTTCTCCACAACTAGGATGAATAATTTTGAAAATGGTGTGCTAGGAAAAACTGAAGGAATTTATTTCATGAGGCTTTTTAGTCCGTGGGCTTTAAGGATCAAATCGTGGTCACTTGAATGAAGCCTACGAACTGCCCATATCCAGACTTCACTACAAAGTAATGAGTTCTTTAATAGATGTGGCACGATGGCTTTAAAATAGCTAGCGCAGTAGATCGGACGGTGGATCGAGGGGTCCTGCCCTTGGGTAAGACGCTTATGTCTTATGATGTTTACCAGCAATCTAAGGGTTTTAACCGAGGTTTAATTGTCAACAGAAGTTTCATTTTAAACTACGCAGGTAACAGTGAAAGTAACACAGATTACTACTAAGCCTTAATAACCCTTGGTGAAGGTAGCCATAGAGGTTTGGAACTTGAAAAAACAATATAAATCAGCTGGCCAATTAAATAACCTTTAGTCTTCAGTAAAACCGCTAAGGTAGAAATCAAGTGAATAGATGAGTAGGATCGGTGCTTTAACAATTTAGATTTTGGGGGAAACAGGTAGAGAAAGAAAGAACGATCGTCCTTGTAAAGAGGATTTCCTCGCTTCCCGTTGTAGGGGTGTCTGGTTTGTAGGTCCTGTAAAGAAAAATAAACATTATATTTTTGCTGCCAGGGGTTTTGGCCTCAGATATTTCCTCTTTTTAGTCTTGTCGCATCCTTAAAGGAAAACAAAAGAAAACTTCGGAAACCAGAGCAATTTAAGAGTCATTTCAAGTTCAAGAAAAACGAGTGTAATACAAGTCCGTCTGTTTGCACAGGAAAACAAGAAAGCTGTCATCAGTTTTGTATCTGCAGAAGTACATTCATACCGAGAAACAAACATGGAACGAAGCCCAGGATTAAATCTTATTAGTCCTGGATTAAAATTATTTCAGAATACCGTTCATTCCTGATGCAATGGAACGGCTGTCAAGTCTGAAGTACTGACGATTTACGGTGCTAAGTTGCTCGTAAACTCCTGTTTGGTATGACTCTGCCTGTGAACCGCACCCACCAAACATGTCCGGACCTTCACATGCCTTGTTCGCTGCTATGATTTGCTGTTGATTAATGATCAGAAAATATTTTGAAATATCTTTTTCAGAATGAAAATACCAGTTTAATATCCTTTAGTTTTAAATACGGAGGTTACCTTATTTGCCACTCTCTCTTTTCCAGACTTATCATTTGCTCGCTTGATTCTAAAAAACAGAGGCAGAGATGATAATACATCAAAACAGAAAAAACGCTAAAGGAAGATAAACGTTTCTATGCGGGAAACGAACTCGACATGTCGTTCCAACACTAAATAGCAGGTTTCGAAATCACTTCGACCCTTATGTCTTCACTAGAAAATCAACCAGCTTGCTCTCTATTTCTCTTAATTCATCTCATTCGTTCACCTTTACTTCTTTTTTCCTACCTTTCTAGTTCTCTTTCGAGCTGTTTTTCGGATTCTTTAAGGTCGTCTTTTGACTTCTGATTCAATTCTTCAAAAACCTTCCTAAAATAAAATCATACGCCAAATTTATTTTAACGAATGATTAATTACATTAGTTATCTATTCACCTCGACTATTCTCCTTTTAGGGGAAGTTAATAGGCGAGTTACTGGACTCAAAGAGTACTGTAGGAGAAGATACACTTTTCATTTGCTGTAGGAATACAGCTTTCGGCATAGTGAGATAAGCAAATACTGCTTCTGGTTCTTGACGTGAGAGTAGCCGAGAGACTTACAAAGCGGTTTGCAATTCTCCGGGGGTAACATCAAACTCCAGCTTACAATTGAGCTTATCTGAAAGAAAAACGCCAAAGTTTAGTCAACCAATCAGGACTCGTGAAAATGAGATCTATCAAAAATGTGATGAATTTGCAGCAAGTGATATGATGTGTATCACTAACCTTTTGCTTTCTTATTGTCCATTTGCAGCTGGTTGAACTTGGTAGTTAGATCTTTCAACACCTTGTCTTCTCTAAAAACTAATTTAACGAACGAAAACTCCCATAAGAATTACCAGGGCCTGATAAACTCCGCTAGCAGGCAAGATGAGGCAAATTATGCGCTCTGAGGGGTATAACTTGCCAACTCGGGACTGGGAATTTGATTCCGTTAAAAAGCCAGCCCACAGGACTTTGAACTTCTGGGAAGCTTATCTTCTCGACGAAGAAAGTTTCTCAGAGTGCAAGGACAAACGAGTTCAAATATCTTTTCTCGACCATGCTAACCTTCTGCTCTAGTCTCGTCAGCTTTCTTGCTCCAGTGTTCCAATTCGTTCCTTACATTTTCCTCTGTCTATTGAGCAAACCCAAGCACCAAAAAATTAATTTAGATATAGTTTAGAGGACGGCACAGGGCTCACTCAGCTCACTGAGTATGTTTGTATTAACCTAATCCAGCTCTAATCAAAACTGCGGGGTATGGTAGAGCTCGACCTGATCTTTAGCCGCGACTGAGCCATTTTTTTCTGCATGAATCACCGCATGAATCAGTAACGAAATCTGGCTCCCCCTATCATGAGTAGCTTTCGAATATCTGATGAAGCCTGTGATACTTGATATTAAACAAAGAACAGAGCATGAGAGTAGAAGAGGAGTGCTTTAATTTTTTTTGACCACTTACATAATAGTTTCGTGCATCTCTGAAGTTACTCGTAAGTTCTGCAAGTTTGTTTTCAAAGATTTGCCTGAAATAAAGAGTGCGGTATTTGTTTAGTATTGCAAATTGTGCCTTGTCTAGGTTATCGCTCCACGCAATTTAATCAGCTCATACTTACAGGAAAAAATGCGAGTTTTTCTTAGTCGATGATACAGAAATAAAAGAAAAACTGAAACTTTTTGTGCTCCAAAAGAGGTGAATCGAAGGACGTCTGATCAGTACCTCACAGGCTCTGCTATTGGGCCATATTAAGAGAATATGAACTGAGAGAACTTATCCCCCATACATACCCCTCTTCTGATGATAATTTTTAAAATCTAACTTTTTATTGCCCTTCCCTGCGGCGCGACTAATTTAAGAACAACAGCTAATTGGTTGGTGTTTCTGTGGTGAAATTTGATGTGTGATGTTTGGCGGCCTGCGATTTGTGGTTTGTAGTGTTCACTGAATGATGACATGATGACATTTTTTGGTCAAGACGATAAAAACACAAGCTGAGAAGGCGTACCCTCTGAACACTACTCTTGAGGCGTAAGTTTTTCTTCCCCTGTACACCACAAGTCAGGATGCGTGGAATTTATTTCATGAGAGGATTTGATGGAAGAACTGAATATCTTCCAATAGCTGTTACAGGTAAATTACCTCCTAAGTTATCAGTTAAGCGGCAATGCAATGTAATGGCGCAATAATATTCTCTTGATTACAAGAATTTCGTAGTAACAAGGCCATATCAACAAAAACGTGAATATCAATGTAAAATACTTGCGACTTACTGTTCTGCATCCTCTTTCTTCATTACTTCACAGACGTTTTTGCGCAGCTCTGCGATTCTTGCACTCTTTCCATCGTTCAGCTCTTTCAGTCTGTTCAAACCAAACCAGTGATTGATGAACGTTTTCAATAATGTCTAAGAATTTTAAGTATAAATCAATTATATTTTTTTCAAATGATGGTTGTTCTTTATTTTTACTCCTTTGAAATATTTCCTCTCGGAGATTACACAGTACTCCGAGTCAAATCAAATGGATCGAAAAAGTGTTGATGTTGTTCCACATTTTTATACTATATGTATCCGAAGCAATATAAGGTAAACTGGAAAGCCCGACATATCAAAATAACTTAACACTACCTAGTTGCCTGTAACTGAGTTTGTAGAACCTTCTGTTTAGCTGCATTCACTGTTTCTAAAAAGAAAAAGAAAAATACGGGAGAAAGGAAGCAACAAGTTTCAATCCCTGAAAAATTCATCGACAGCACTTTACCTAAATTACGACAGTTTTTTGGTTTTCCTACTTGGAAAGGTTTCGTCTTTCAAATAAATACAAAACAGATGAGTTTCAAATAAAGTCATGAAATACACATTTCATTTCTTAATTTTCATATATATATATATATAGATATATGTTTTAAATTCTGGGAATGGGTGAACGAAACAATTTGCGACAAAGGTTGCAAAGGAAACTATTTTTGCTGTGTAATGTAAATGTAATTGCTTAATTAATCAAACAGCAGTAACTTACCTAACATTTTGCAGTGTTTCTCAACGCTCTGGTAATGCTTTGATTGACCTGACAAAAATACGCAATGAGAGCCGAAGCTTAAAAAAAAAGGTTGTTAGTGCATAACGCAAAAAATTCAACAGTTTTATACAGAGAGGTACATACAAGCCTCAAGTTTAATTTCCAAGCTTCGACAACGAGCTTTCTCTTCATTATAGTGCTGCTGAAGTCTCTCTTTTTCTGAAACACGAAACAGTGGCTATTTTAGTCATTCATAAGAAAAAGTGACATCGAAATACATTTTATGACAAGCAACTGCTTTAAGAAAAAAGCTGACAGGAAAAGTTGTGGACAAAATATAAGAGACACTTTTATAAGAATGGAAGAAAAAGCAAACCATGTAAAACTCCTAATTAACTATTTTATATGAAGGCAAACCTTGTTGCAGCTCACGGAGAGAGTTGAAAATAACGTCAATTCGGAAGTTTGGGGAACCAGAACCCGTTGGATTACTCATGTTACCTTCCCCTCTTTCGGGAGCGTTTCAGAAAAGTTGATTATCAAACGATAAAATCGATTATCGTATTTTGAATAATCTTGACAAAACCCATAGAAGTTTCTTCTCCTCATTGATTTCTTTTTGTTGCTGGACAACGCTGGCCGCACGCTTTTTTTCGCGCCAATTTCATTTGCGAGACTGCGATCATATTGCTCAGTGGTGACATCTCGTTTGTGGGTGTAAATGTCACCAAATGACAACCTGGTCAGCAGTTTTTCCACTAAAAGTATTTTGAAATAAGAAAAATCCACGTTGTGACCGAAGTGTCCCTAAACATCGGTGTATTTCTCGTATTTGTAGTCGTTATTTGTAAAATAAATTGGGAAAATGGTTAATTCCTCATCTGTGCAGCAAATAGGACTTCAACTTGCGGATCAAAATCGGTGAGTATTAAAGGTTAAATTGAAGATCTTAGTAATCAGCTGTTATCGATCGACACAAGTCTTGATTGAAGTTCGTGACCAAAATTAAGTTATAAAAAGTTAGAACTTTCTTGCAGCTTTGGAGGCGAAAAATTCATTTATTACATAACATTATAGTCCAGTCCTAGACGACACCTTATTCAGACATCATAATCGAATCAATAAAAACTCCTGAATACAAGCACGGCATGAGCTTGTCCATGATAACATGTGTGAAGTTTATTGAAATAGGTATATGGTTACGTCACTTACATATCTACAGATTTCTGGCTTCTTTCCCGGATCGTTAGTATTTTATTTACAATTTCCTCTATGTTTCTCCCAGACCATTAACAGACAGATTCCGTGCCCTTTTTACACTAAGAAATCTTGGTGGACACGAAGCCATTGACTGCATTTCAAATTGTAAGTTATTTTCAATCATGGTACAGTTTGATGTATTAAGGCTTACCAGTGTATGATCAGAAGTTCTAGTGTGTAGTGGCTGGTGACAAAGTAATATATAGATCGTAATCATTGAAGGAAGCACAGGGAACCCATTATGACTCAAACCTGTACTTTTTGATCAGAGTATCCCAAGCACTAATCCCTTTTAGACCACAGTATCATTGTTGGGGCTGTGGGGGATGGATGGGGAAGGGAAGTAGAATGCTGCATGGCTTGTGTATGAAAATACCTTCTGAACCCTCCCCTCCCTTGGATCTGCCCTTGGATCCAATCACTACATCATGCTTTTGTGTGAATTAACCTCATGTATTTTTCTCTAGGTTTTGATGATCCGTCAGCATTGCTTAAACATGAATTGGCTTATTGTTTGGGACAAATGCAGGTAGAGTTTACATGTACATGCATATTTGCATACAGTGTGCAAATTGTGAAGAGCTCTTTGCTTTGTATAATTGGGCCACAGTCATTTTGAAAACTTTTGTCTCAGATTTTTCTCTGTGAACAATTCAAAATGCAAGCTCCTCAGTCAAACAAGATGTATCAGTGCTCTTTGGTTAACAAGTTTTATGACAAAAACAACTGACTGCAATAAAAACAGTATTGATCACACCCTGACAAATATTTATAAACTTTGTATACTGTACATGTGTGCATAGAGGCAGACAAAGAGTGGTATCATGGGTAGGTTAACATACATTTGTATATGAAGCAAATTCTATTTCTTCCCTTTTGCAGGATGAATATGCCATTCCAGGATTGATTAGGTAAATCAAATTCATGGGTTGCAGTCATCATATATCATTCATTTTTCTGCCAAGTTTATCAGTCACTCCAAATGCATGTTACAAATAATTACTTAAAAAAACTTTACACAGTCATTTAGATAAATTTTTTAATTGTTTAGAGTCCTTCAAGATAAAACACAAGAGCCAATGGTTCGACATGAGGTACATTTCTTTTACTTTATTATACTGTACATGTAGATGCTGAAACTTAAGTTGAATTAATAAAAATTATCAGTAGTTAAAACTGAATTAAAATTAGACTTGCTCATATAATAATTTTATTCTAAACTCTCACATGTAATTGCATGAATTGTTTCTCAGTAGTAAGTTTAACTGTTCCACTAGTTGTAATGTGAACTTTTTGTTTCTCCTAATTTCCAGGCTGGTGAGGCACTTGGTGCCATTGGATCAGCTGAAGTTCTAGATGTCCTGAGGGAGTTTGCCAATGACCCACAGATAGAGGTACTGCCAAAACCAACAAATTGTTGAAAGAAGTAGTAAATAAAACAGGATGGTCAAAGGAAGAAAATAAAATTTAATGTTAAAAAGAGTTTAAAATGTTTTAGTCAGCCTGAATATTTAGACATAAGCCAGATTGCTTTCTACTACAAAGAAGATCTTCCAAATTAGATATCATTAGCAGCATCATTTTTTAATGTTTTTGAACTTGGTTTATACCGATTGTACAATTTTAAGCAATTTTTCATCACTGACTGTATTTTATGGCCAGGTATTTTATATAAATTGCATTTTCAGGTGGCAGAAACTTGTCAACTTGCTGTTCAGAGAATAGAATGGCTGAGAGCAAAAAGTTCTAAAGAAAATGGTCAGCTAAGGTTGGTGTTACGTATGTACATAGGTTCTAGGTTGTGCATGTTGTCTTGAATAACCTGTGAAGAACAGGTACTGCTTGTGATGTTATGTCCATTTGTTTGAGTAACCTTAAAGCAGGGTGCTTTTCATTTTCATTTTCAAATTAACAAATTTTGTAAAATAATTTATGAATATTTCTCTTTCAGCTCAAATCCTTATAAATCAGTTGATCCTGCACCTCCCTCCCTAACACTGGACACTAACACTTTACAAAACACATTACTCGATGAATCTTGTGAATTGTTTGACAGATACAGGTACATGACTGTATATTAGTCTTGCAGATGGATAATTAAAGTTTAATTTTTTTTATTTTTTTTTTCGTAGTTATTTTTGTTATTCCCATTGTTTTTGTCATTGCCATCATCATCATCATCATCATTATCAATAGTAGTAACTTAGTTGTGGTTAACCTTTTAACCTTTAACTCCCAAGATTTGATTAATTCTCCCCTCTTGCTACTACACATTTCCTTGTAAATTAGTTATGAGAATTTGGCGTAAGATCAAGACAACAACTTCTACCTGATTAGTTTTCATATTCTTATTGCCTGTTTGTTGGATAATGTATGGATATTTTACAGAGAAGTTACATGTTGATCACTTCTGGGAGAGAAAGGGTTAAGAGTGACTGGCATCTTATTTCTCCTAAAAGTATCACCCCTTGAATCACTCATTAAGGAAATTATACGATATTTCATTTGATATTTGCTCAGTAAAATAATTTCAGATTCTCATTGCATACCTCATCAAAGAATTATCGCACAGAGGCAATCAATTCATTTATAATCACTATAAGTTGTTCTTTTTAATGGGTTTTGCAATTTCAATCTCTCAACCTTTGACTCTTTTACACATCTCTTCCTCTTAGGGCAATGTTTTCATTGCGTAACAAGGGAGATACTGAATCAGTGCAGGTAAGTTGTGGCTTTTTTTGTTGTTTGATAGTTAATATAAGATGTACTTGTAGTGTAACATTAATTGCACAAAATGTGAGTATTGCATCTCACCATAATCACAATATCTGCATCAATCTTCAACAAGTAACAACTGTGTATACCTGGTATACATCATTACAAAAGAAAGTTACATGACGAAGAGGAAGATAGGATATAACAATGATCATTGAAGTCAAAGAAGAAGACAGTTATACCTTGATGTTTGGTTCTTGTCTTAATTAATCTTTATTTTCTTAAAATTGTAAACTTTCTAAATTAAATTCATTTTTCCTTTTTAGGCCTTGGCTAAAGGTCTTAAGTGCAGCAGTGCATTATTCAGACATGAAATTGGTGAGATACAATCATAACCATTTTTGTTAATTCACTTCCTTCACTTCAATGAAGTAATTGGAGGAATTTACATAATCAGGATTCAGTATTTCAGTTGCAGTAACTGTTATGAAACTCAGTAGCTCACACAATTTGCGTCTGATTCTATCTTTGTAGCATACGTCCTTGGTCAGATGCAACATGAGGCAGCCATTCCACAGCTTATAGAGGTGGGTCATATATTTGCAATCAAACTCCACAACATTGTACAATTTGTCTGTTTGAACATGTTCATTTTGTGGCATAATTTCATCAAAGTTTAGCTTTTCAAGCTCTCCTTTTCCACAATTTCCCTTCCTCACTTTGCCATCTGTGGTAACCACTTTGATTTCAAATTCAAATTACTCTTAGCAAGTTCTTCATATGGGGACATTTCTCTGCTAATAAAAAACTGACTTAATCACAATTTTTTCATCAATAGAATCTTGAAGATTTAAATGAAAACCCGATGGTGAGACATGAATGTGCCGAGGCACTTGGTTCAATAGCTAAGGTTTGTACATTGTATGTTGGGAGCAATTAATTTAGTAATTTAAATGATATTGAGATTTTACGCATTTTCTCATAGAAAGAATTCCACGTACACATAGTGTTCATAATTATCATGCAATTAGCAATTACCAAACGGTTTAGTTTTATGAAAAATAAACAAGACTAAGCCTTAAAATGTTGCATGAAAGAGGTGAGATTTTGTGCATGGCTTAAAAAAATTGCAATTATTATATTTTTAATTTCTTGATAACTGTCTTACAATAGTTGATTCCTATTTCAATACCACTCAAGTGAAAGAAGGTTCACTGAGGATAGCTCAAGATTTGAAAGGTAGATGACTTTTGTAGAGAAAAGTCCATCTTGGGAAATCCTAAGTACTTCAACAGGGTTATGGTGGAATTTTTCCATAATTTAAAAACCCTTCATCAACAGCCTTTCAATATGAATAGTTCATTTCTTTCAGTAACTACTAATTTGTGATTGTTTCTTCTCAGGATCAGTGTTTAACGGCCTTGGAAAAGTACTCAAAGGATCAAGAAAGAGTTGTGAAGGTTTGTGTCCTCTATGGAAATGTTTATAACTAAAAGTGTAATTTTAACATTCAAACAGCAGTGTAAGTGTTAAATCTACTCTTTCATTTCCTTTTTCAGGAAAGTTGTGTCGTGGCTTTAGACATGTATGATCATGAGCACAGCAGTGAGTTTCAGTATGCTGACTCACTTGTCAAAATCAGCGAACAGTAAAAAATGGACATAAAGAGTTGCCATTAATAGATGATGTACATCATCATGGCCAAGTGAACTAGCAACCAGGAACTTCAGACAAGCTCTTAACCCTTTAACTCCCAGAGGTGATCAACATGAAACTTCTCCCTATAATATTCTTACATTATCCAGTAAATAGGTAATGAGAATCAGGTAGAAGTTGCCATCTTGATTTAACACCAAATTCTCATTACTAAGTTACAAGGAAATGTGTAGCAGCCAAAGGGGAGAATTAAGAATCTGATCTTGGGAGTTAAAGGGTTAAGAGGCTTCTCAACTGCCACATTGCCACAATGCTGTTAAAGATACTATAAGGAGAGTCAAAGATTAAGAGAGACAATGGTTCTGACTGAGTATCTGACACTTGCATCTAATTTTTCCTTACAATTTCACCCCTGAATTACACATTTAGGTCACTAGAATAAAGGAAGTAATCTTTAACTTAAGAAACTGTTGATTGTGAAACAAATTCTCCTTGTCAGCACCTTCAGAAATGTATAGAGAACAGTATGGAGAATATGTATACTGATCTCTGTATGTAAAGGCTTAATTATAGCTTCCTTGCCCCATTTTCTTGGAAGATGAAATCATTTCTGTTCAAACAAGTACTTCTCCACGACAAACAGTGTCTGTTAGTGTGTGTCAGATTTTTGGTCACCATAAGGGAAAAAAAGACCTTTGCTGTTTCCTCTTGCCTAGCATCATATGTCGGTTCTAACACTTGTCTCTGCCGACCTGGAACTGGCCAAGTGAGCAACATCAACAACATTACCACTACCAAAGAACTCACATCAGACAAACATTCAATTCTGAATAAAGTTAAATTGTTATTACTTAATAAATATTGTCCATCTCAAAATTTTAAGATTAATATAATGGTAATATGACTGAGTGAAGTCCAATTCAATCTGTAATCATATGAATGATTAACAAACTAGGCCTACTGCAAAATAGGAGACTGATTTGTTTATCATGAGTATGATCACAGACAGAATTGGACAACACGAACTCTTGTTACCAATTAATCAAAACTATGACAAAATTTGAGACGGAACTAGACATCTGTTATACGTGTTCATGAAAAAAAAAACAACAACATCAGTTACCTCGGCAAAATGTAAGACAACAGCAAGGGCACATGACGCATTCTGTCCACTTACATAAGCATGGTGTTTTACTGTCCCTTTAACTGTGCTATTAACACTGTCCAATTACAAGCATGAAGCATACACCATCCTATTACTGCTCAAATGGGGCAGGTTATAACCAATCATGTTCCAGAATTTTGTCATAGTTTTGATTATAAGTTAAAAAGAACAGAATTGCATCATAATGAACAGATGAAAAAAAATATACCTCATTTATTAAATGAGAACAGGTTTATGTAAGGACATGTTTATCACTTGAATAGGAAAAATGAAACAGAAATTAATTCAGGAAGTCCATTTATTCCAAGTAATCCTTCGAAATATAAATTTGCAGACTCCAGTAAAAAGGAAATACATGGCATTTAGTGAACTATTAAATTGTTGCCAAATGTATTAAGGTTCAAGCAAAACCCTTGCACCATAACATGAAAGTGATATTGTTTTCAATCAGTTTCCAGCACTGTTGAGTGTGTACATTTGTCTTTTCCCTATCCTTCATACAGTGCAATAGTTATGATGTTAAAACTTAATAATGCATGCTGGCCAACAAGACCTTCATTTTGTTCAGTTTTCGTTCTTGAAAACAAAATGGTCTAATCTAAAAGAGTTCTTGCTCAAGACTCAAGGTTTGATCAGCAAACATGGCAGAAAGTTATTTGCCTTATTTTTTCATTGTAACAATGTCCAATAAAAGTGTGTTGTATTTTCATGTGAAAACATTGCTGTGCTTAGTGATGACAGTTTGTTCTTTGAATCCATGGGGTGTGATCTGCATGTTAATTCCCCATCTACATATTACACAATTCCAAGCAAACCAGTGATGATACTGGGGAGACTGTAGTGAAACAACACCAAAATTCTCCATAACAACCAGGTTAAATACATAGACATCAATGAGGAGAAAAAGCTTTCAAAAATTGACAGTGAAAGGACTGATTAAGCCTCATGTAAATCACTGGTAAGACAATTTGCTCAAGTTCCCTCAATCACTGGCTGTCAGCACTGCCATTAAAAAAAAGAAACTTGGTGTCACTAACTGATTTCTTTCTGTTAAAATATTAAACAACTTCCCTTGATACAATTTGTTTGCACCTCATAACCAAAGAATATGAGTTTTCTACTTTAGCACTTATTGCTATTAAGAAAAAAAAATAATACTGATACAGAAATCAAAACTAGTAAAGTTAAAAAAAAAGGTTGGTAACTTCTGTCTAATGATCCCACGGCCCCCAAAATACAGCCTGTTAAATTAGAAAAAGACTACAATATGCCCAAACTTAAATGCAGAAGTTTCAAAATTAGTTGTTGCAGACCCTGGCAGCACTGTATGCTAATCCATCCTCAATGTAAAATATATATGATTTTAACCAGAGCATCACCAAACTGAAAAAAAAAAAGAGAAAATAAAACAATAAATTACATAAACAATGGTAACAGAATGGAGTGGAGTAAAATTAGGGGACAATCAAGAAAATATGGAATATTGTGACCTGAGCAGTTTTTTTTTCCTTTTTCATACCCTTCAGCATACCCAGGATCTTTCGACACAATCTTATAATTGGAATAAAGTGCCAATTAGTACCTCAAACCTCTTAGCTGACTATGCTTGAAGGGACAAAGAGTGGCAACTAAAACAGTCACTAATCCTCAAAATTAGAAGATAAAACAATCTCCAACTAAACATGTCAACAAAAAGAAGAGCTCATTGCAGGAAACCTATACACTGAGAATCAACTTTACATCAACTCTGATAAAGTGATTTTAATCACTTTATCAGAGTTGATGTAAAAGCTCTTGCATGCACATATGCTAAGGCTAGACTGAGTGTAATTGCATTAGCAAAGTATGATGTAGTCTGGAAGTTCAGTCTAGACAACCAAGCAACCTTCTATACCATAAATAACAGCTCACAAAGCATGAAGAGGATTTTTGGATTTTTGTTTTGATTTTTGGGGTTTAAGGGAATGCATAACAACTTTAAGAAGCATGCAAACGTAAGAATCAGCTGCAAATACATTATTCTTACCATGTTGAACATTACGCACTAGCCAGCTCTGGAGGCAGTGCTGCTTTAGGGTGCTTGCTCTCAAAGTGTTGTTTGTAAGTTTTAGGGTCAGGCATCTGTGACTGAATTCAAAAGATAACCTTCTCAGAAATCATACTTTTCAGATATTCAGGCTTCAAAATTTCTTAGCTGTGTTCATTACTTTGAATAAAATTTTTTATTTGTCTTTGTCCACTGGCATACATGTAGGTTCTCAACATGAAAAATCTTTTCTTGACCCCTTATGTTAGGTTAATAACTTCTTAACTCCCAGGAGTGACCTAGAGAGAATTTCTCTCTACATAATCACTTCAATATCAAGCAGACAAGTAATGAGAATAAATAAAAAAATTTAATAAAGTGATTATTAGTTGATCCAATGCCAAATTCTCAGAACCATCACCATAAGTATTGTAGTAGAGCAGACAGAGGGGAGAATTAAAAATGAGATCTTGAGAGTGAAAGGGTGAAAAGTCAGCATTTTCTGTACCTTGCATACAGTGCATGTGAAGACTAACGCCTTCAGTGCTGCTGACTTTTGATCATGTCCTTGGGCTTTCTTCAACTTCTCCTGCTTCTGGGCATTTTTCTGTTGGGACTGAAACTTTTGGTGACCACGAGCCATTTCAAACTGATAAAAATTATAAAATAATATTAGCAGTCATTGATTTACAGAATTTTCTTAACAATGCAGTATGGTAAAGGTAATTATTATCATATCCATTTGTTATGTAATTATTTCCCTCTTGGTGTCTCAATTGGGAAAATTTCATTATTTAGTTATCACATGGTTTTCATATTGCTGTACATCTGCTCAGTTTTGGATCACAGAGGACATCAAAATGTGGTAACAAAAAGGTGGCACACGATGCTTAGTGTACCACCAATCTTTTACCACATTTTGATATATTCTACAATATGTTACGGTAACTGTACAGAGCCACCCCAACATGGAATCTATTTATTTTACATAATACAGAAGCAAATGTCAATAGCGATGTCATCCATGTGTCTGTCCTCCTATAGATCATAGGTAAGAACCAATCAGAATGCACACGTACAGTAGCCCATTTTATAGTGGTTTGCCAAGCCTTTGAATAGGAGTGAGGCTATAGTTGATCCTGTTATGATACAAACCTTGCTGCTTTTCAAACGTAAAGTACTTTAATACCATGCTAACTAGATACTGGTCTCTAACAAAACATAGTCACCTTCAGCCTCGCTCTAAAACAAAGGCTAGGCAACTAAGTACACAACTGTAAAATGGCCTATTCCAGCTTATCATATAATTTCATGTTTTCTTTTTTATCGTTCCATACGCGTGATTTTAATTTGGCCAAAAAGTCTTTCTCAAAAATCGGTAACCTAAAAATCTAAAAAATGACTTTCCAGTCCAACTAATTTAAAAAGAGACATCTAGAGGCACACTCTGTGTCTTTGTAAAAAGGCAGTGAAAATGAGGGTAGAAGTCTGAGTCAATACAGCAAATCAAATAATTCCTGTACCAATACTTAATCTGGTTTGAAGTCCAAATTGTTCGAGTAAGCCAACTGATCATGCTAAAACCAAAATCATGACCATCATTAAAGGTAGTACAGTTTATTCTATCACCGGTTAAATATGAGAAAACACTACTAATTCTGAACTACGGAAACGACGGCCATTTTTGGCCCCGACTTAATGAATTCTTTGAAATCAAAACTTTCAAGCTCTTTCTTGGCATCTTCCACCTACCCCCAAAAGAGAAAATATTTAAAAATTTATTTTTACTGGTACCTACCTCAAAATATGTTGGTGATTTATCCTAAAACTGAACGGCAAATAAAAACAATTTACTAAGCATGTACCTTTCTACACTCTTCGTTGATTCGAATGAATGACGTCACAGTATCCAAACTTCTTTCCAGGCTACCCACAAGGAACGCCTCGTAGAAATGTGACTCTGAGGTGTCTTCGTCCAATATCATCGAGTGGAAGATCTGGAGAAATTGAAATCAGGATTGGAAATTCAACCGCAGGGCAGGTAGTATTCCTTTTTGTAACAGGGAGGATATGAAAAGATTTATGTGCTCTGGTTTACTTTTTGCACCTCAAATGAATTCGAGCGGCTTTTAAACAGCACGTGAGGTGATAGTACTGTCGCCAGTTTGTGTAACCATCTGACAGATGTTTGATGCTTGGAAATTGTAAGATCATCGCGTTGAAAAGATGAACCACAGGTCTAATTACGTAGCTGCTCGCGCAGTTTTATCTGCTGTGACTGTTTTTTCTTCTCTGTCGTCTTTGGCGCGCGTTAAAAAAACTATTATTTGGAGGTTGTATTGGATCCAATAATAAATGGTGACTAATCAGCTGATACATTTCATTGATGGAGAACATAAATTCGAGAAAGATAGATAGAGTAGGGAAAGAATGGGGGGGGGGGGATCACGTGAAAAGTGAAATGAGAGGCCTAGGTTTAGAAGATAGTGTGAGTAGTGTAGGAAAAGTATGAGTAAAAGCATTTTAATAGAGCAATGCATCAATTTCTTCAAATATATTTGGAAGTCACACGAGAAAGGTATGTTAAATATGTTAGAAGAGGCACAAACCCTTCCTCTCCTCCCCCTCCCCATCCCTTCATGTATCACTTCTTCATAAAACTTGCACGGATTAGTAACTATTGGACAGAGATATTTCCAAAAGAATATTAACACTTGTAGATCTATATCACACACAGAATTCTTGATACCCCTCCTAACCTGTCTTTTTTTCTGTTTGAATTTGTCTTTTTCAGTTGAAGAAAGGGTCACAAGTATTAATTAGGCAGTGTCAATTGGAAGGTAAACATTTAGCAAGATATTCCTGCAGGAATCGCAACATCCAATGAGCTTAGCATGTCACAGATTGATCAGCACATCACAGAAGTGGCTGAGACAATTTTTTTGGGTTCACAATAAACAAAGACATAAAGGTGAGGTACATAACCTGCTAAAGTTTTCACAAACACATGACCTGAAACTCATGGTGTCAGCAAGTAGTTTTCCTAACCACTCCTCTATACTGTTGAGGCCATAACCACACATACATGTCTAAAGATGTTTGTCAACATATATGCATGGTGTATTTATCAAAGCCCTCAATACATATATGGATAATGCCAAAAAAAAACATATTTGTGATGAATGAAAACTCCAATCAACTTAGCCCTTTACGCTCTCTACAGAATTGGTACTATAATACTGATGAAGGGGATTTGTGCGACAATCAGGGGCTGCTAAAATTGATGATCATTTACTATATTCTCATGACCTTTATATTTGATTCAAGAGTGAGAATTATGGAGAAATTAGAGGCAAGTCACCCTTTGGGTATATAGGGTTAACATATCAATTGAAGGGTACATTTAATCTGAATTGACCCCTACCATGCTTTGAACACTCAAACACCCTCTATCCATAGTGTATAAGTCCATTAATTCTTGTCTCATTGGTCGCAGAGCATGCATATGAGTTGAACTATCAAATGTACTGCGTAGTAGGGATTAAACTAACTAAATAAACCTCCATTAAGAAATCCTTTTCATTTTAAGCTGAAAGTGCTAGTAAATAATTAGTAAATGAAATAATTTTGTTAAGTATCTATTTTCAGGCCTGTATTCACATCCAAGTATAGAGATATCATCCTGAAAATAATCACTATGTGTGCTTTTTCTTTCTTTTCTTTAATTTGCAACTTTTCTTGCTAATTATAGGCTGTGTGTCCCAGTTTTCCTCATTTGCCTATGTCTGGGGAGCTGGGGATGGAGGTCAGTTGGGGACTGGTATCCAGAAGCACAGTCCAGTGCCAATCAGGCTTCCTCTTTCAGCTGAGGTAGCTTTTTATTAAAACTGATTCATTTTTTTACTTAATATTTAATTGTAAATATATTTTTAAAAGCTCATATTACCATGTTTGTGCAGGTCTCTCACATTGGTTGTGGTTATGGATTCACAGTAGCAGTTGAAGCAGGAATCCCCAGGCTGTGGACCACTGGTTTAAACACATTTTCACAGCTTGGAAGACCACAGACATGCAGTGATTTGGAAAGTATGATGTGTATTACACTTCTTTCATTGTTTGATCAGGTTGAGCTGCTTTATGGGACTTAACATTGGCTCAAACATGTTAATCACAGCTTAATGGAGACATAGGAATGAAAGTGATTATTTTTATCACATAATAGTAAAGAGCACTAAATAAGAACTATTTTTAAATGTGTACAAGTTGTATGTGCTTCCAGGCAGAATTGAAATTTAGTGTAACATTATCTCTTGGGGTTCAATATTGTAGACTTAACTTACAACAAGCACAACTCATAGATGACAACATGTCTAGGAATCATACTGAGACAACAGTTGCAGAAGACGAGTGCCCTCACCACACTGACTGTGCTTCTCAAGATTCTTGATTTAACTTGAGAAATGTGTTAGAACATGGTGTTTTGTGTTCAATCTCTTGTGCAGTTGAGTCTGTTCCAAGGTCTGTTGGTCTCCATACAAATATACCTTTATCAATGCAAGTCCAGCAGATTTCTTGTGGAAGATCACATTCAGCCATATTATTAGACAACGGAGAAGGTAATTTTGTTATGTTACTGGGAAAGCAATAAAATAAACTATACAAGTTGCTTACTACAATTTATTTGTAGGATTGTTAGTGGGAACATTTTAAATAAAAAAAATTAAAGATTGCACAACTCATACATTGACTGGATGACAATGACTGTTATGGACTACATGTAAAAGAGTCATTTTTGGTATCAGGGTGAAGCTTGTCATGTTGATTGATGTGAACTATGTGAGTTTTCTGAGATCAAATTGATGACTTCATGGATAATGTCAGAGTTTGTGGCTTCTTTCCAAAAGAACTAACAGAAAGTCTGGAGGTCATGGAATTAGGTAATGAAAGATTTGGGTGTACTGTGATTTAAGTTTATAACCATCATTGTCTGTTAATGTTGTTATGCAGTCTGGACCTGGGGTGGAAATTTCCATGGACAGTGTGGAAATGGAAGCAAAGAAGCAAGATCTATTGAAGAAATTACCAAGATACCTAATATTACAAGTAGGATCAAACAGGTAAGTTTGGATTGGAATTCTATCTGTTGATTTGCATGATGAATTGTATATGTCATATTTTTCAATTTTGTTTCTTCAGATAGCATGTGGCTTGGACCACACCCTTCTGTTGTCAACTGATGGCACAGTGATGTCCTGTGGGTGGGGTGCTGATGGACAAACTGGTACAGTCTACAATTCTACTATCAATGCTTTATTTCATTGCTCCAATGTAAAACATGTGCAAGTATAATTCATGAATGCTCAAAAAAACGTGTTCAGTAAGCCTTGTGTTTTGTGTGCTGGTCTGATCTATGGATGGAGATCAATGTGTGGTGTTCTTGATCAAGAGTGAAGCTTTAATGTCAGAAATTATTTGAATGCAGCTTGTTAACCTGCAGTCAAAACATGCTAGCATCTAAGCCAACACATTTCTCCCAACTCATTGACTCTCTATGCGATTAAGTATCATGGTTATAACACTACACCATCAACCCTTTCAAAACTGTCTTTAGAATTATGTTTTACCAACTAAAACAGACTATTTGTAATAGATTTCAACCAGTACTGCACCATATCATCTGTCAATAATAGCTTGGACCAAACAAAATGATCAAAGTTCACAGATAGATTGAATGCAACAATCTTAACTGACCCATGGTATGGGCAACTTGATAAAACCAGTCAACAAAACCAAATGACCTTGATTCTTACAGTCACTGGCATGACAGCAAAAGCAACCAACTAAGTATCAAAAGCCAGACTTAAAACTCTACAACAACAATCAGCTCCTTCCTTGACTCTGATGATCATCATCACACCTGAGCAATCAGACAAAACAGTAAAATTGGGTCATCTTTCCTTGATTTTTAATTTCCAAAGGCTTGAATCATTTTGAAGACGAGGCAACATGTAAGATCCTCGAGGGAGAACTGAAAGATGTGAGGATAAAACAAATTGCAACTTCAGGAGATTGCTGCTTGGCACTCTCAGGTAATGGGCTCTTGAGCCATTCAATTCTTTTTATTCTCCTAACTGCCTACTAATTTCTTCGTCAGCTAGTGTAGAGAATTCAGCGCTTTATCAAAACAATACGCTCAGTTACACAGTGCAGTTATGGCTATGCACTAAAATTCTTTTATTTTACAGATGAAGGTGAAGTGTTTTCGTGGGGAAACAATGAATATGGACAGCTTGCTGTTGATAGAGAAGATGAACAAGTATGCCTGCAACACATATTCTGATAGGTTTATAACATTTACCAATTGAAACAAACAATTATTTAGCCAAATGAACAAAGGGGGTAAGTTTCTAAAGAAACTGTGATGCAGCGTCGGTGGGAGAGTAGAACAGGGTAATTTCCTATTATCAACCGAGTTGATAACGTTCATTGGCCACCGTAAAGAGTTTAAAACCTGACGTTTTGAGCGTTGGCCCCAATCGCCCTGACGAAGGGCTAGCGCTCGAAACATCAGCTTTTAAACTCTTTACGGTGGCCAATTTACGTTATCAAATCAGTTGATAATACCAAATTACCTAACTATTTAGTAAGTGTAGGCTGAAGAAATCCAGTCCACTTGTCTCTTATGAACCTGATAATAGCCGCAGCTTACCGGCGAGTTCTCTTTAACTCAATGGTAGAGCATCTCAGCTCGAAATCGTTAGTTGTGGAGTGGATTTCGACTCCTCGCGTGCACCTCAATGTTCCCTTAAACACACGCCTGTGTCAAAACGAATAATTTCTCAGTATTTTTGACAGGAAACGCGTCTCTACGAATCTCGTGCTTGTGTTAGCTCAGATGCTGTACATAAATGTATAGTTCTATCTTCCTGTGGCTGTAACTGTATGTTTGATCTGCGTTCTTATTTTTGATGATATTGTTTCTCTATAATTTCCATTCATTCACTTGTAATTTCTGTTGTTGTCTCTTTATTTGTTGTCGGTAAGTTTGCAGTCCCCATGAGAGCAACTCTGCTGAGAAATCTTCCACAGGTTCAACAAGTTGCCGCTGGAGGTTCATTTTGTGTAGCTCTCACTGGTAAGTTAATCACATTACGGCATGTTTTCAAACAGAAGAAAATCCACCGTCACAACAAGGATAATATTCTACTAAAAAGTGGTTGCCGAATTTAAGATTTATCACAATACAGCAGCATATTAACTGTGAGTCAGTAAGAACCCTCGTTCTCCCTGATAAACGAGAAAGAAAAGGGAAACTCGGAGGGTATAATTTTTTCAGTTACTTTACTTCAAATTGCCAAATCATAGTAGTTACCGAACCCGTACTCAGTTATACAACTGTATATTCTTGTAACCAACCAATCAACATTTCTACCAGCTTCATGACAGTCTTTCTCGAAACTTTTTATTAGTTTCTCGATGATTCAATCTATGGAACCTCGCCCTCACTGCGATTTTTGTCATCTTTCTCTTTTCCCTCCACCAATTAGTCACTGGAGAACTTTACAGTTGGGGATATGGGGTCCTCGGACATGGTAAAGAAGTTTCCTTTTCAAAGAGGCCAAGAAAAATCGAGGAGTTCTCCAGCATAGATGACGCTGTTTCAACCTTGATTTGTGGCCCTGACAGTTGCGGTGTGGTAACAGGTTTGTATTAGAAAAACATTTGGGATCACGTCTAATGAGCGCACCTCGGTCTCTGGTGCACTGCTGCCACCCCTGGAATGCCACAGTGTGATTCATTATAGATACTCCCTCCCCCTGCAAATCATTCACCCAGCATGTATTGGTACTCCTGGGTGGAGAGGAGCGCCGTTGGAGTTTGATGTCCTGACCCCCTCCCCCCCCTAAAAAAAAAAAAAGTTAGGCATCTGAACCTCTTCCTCTAAGGTCCAACGTGCTAACCACGAGATCATCACGTGTGCAATTTCTTTTCACGCCCACGCAAATGGACGCATTCCCTCTAGAAAACGGAAATGCATTTTCTAGGTTGCTAGATAGATATCCTCATTTTAGTATAACCATAGGTCGAATTTGTTTGATATTTATTCGAAATCATGGCTTTGCTGCGGAGACTACCCAGTTTCATTTACTTCTAGAGTTGGTGTATACAGTTTGTTTTATGTCACACCTTCCTTTGTAATTTCAAATATATCCATATTTCCCAATACACTACTCCACAGTTACAGTTGTTTAATTCCGAAACATTGACGCACTAGGAGCCCCTAGGAAGCAGTCAGATGCACGACATTAGACAAAACCGGGACTTAAGTTGATGAATTTTTCGTGAGTCACAGTTCTTTTTGTTCTCAGAATCAGGAAACTTGTACACTTGGGGTAGGGGGTCATTTGGGAGACTGGGTCTTGGCTCCACACTCGATCAATGGACGCCTAAAAGGGTGAGTAGCACTTAGTAAGCATTAGTGACCTGGCCTTGCAAGTTGAGTCTTAAAGTAAACTGAGCGGTGTTACGAACGGACAGACGGGCCGACGGACTCATCATTCGACGAATTTTTTCGAGTTCCTTTGGCTACGTTTTGGCCTGTTAAACTTCTTGAGCGAGATTTAGGTGAAACCCTCTTTTATTTCTGGATTTTCAGGTGGAAGTACCGGGCAAAGTAAAGGAAGTGACGTGTGGCTTGGATCACATGGCAGTCATAGTGGCATGTAACTAGTGCAACTTTGTCACGTGAAGAGCGTACGTGGGAGTGACTTCGCGCTGGAACATTGGCACAAAAATGTTTTCATGAATTGAACCAAGCTGTTTCGCTGCCAGTGAAGCAAGAGAAACGTAGCGGCGGATGTTTGAAATATTAAAGGAAATATCAAAAGTCAGGGAAGATTTTCCAGAGATCATCACTTGCATGAGATTTGTATTATCATTTAAATTATTACAATTTTCTCTTTGCTTAACAGAAGCTTTCTTAGACGTGTGTAAGAAAGTCTAAGAGGAGTCCTCACTATTTCGCAATTGTTCTTACGTGGAAAACCTACACAGGCCTTAACCCTTTAACTCCCAAGATCTCATTAGTAATTCTCCTTAATGTCTGTCATACAATTATTATGATGTCAACTTGGAGAATTTGGTATTGGATCAACTAATAATCCCCGAATTGATATCTTTCTTTATTCTCGTCACTTCTATGCTCGATATTGTATTGATATTGTAAGGAGAAATTCTCTCTTGGTCACTCATGGGAGGTAAAAGGTTAAGGGCCTTCTCTGAGATGCTGTTAAAAAGTTATGCGTGAATAGTTCTGTTGCATTCGGCAAGAAGAGGAGAGAGGAATTAGATGTTATTTTTAAATTCTCTCCACTCAAAAATAAACAAAAGAACAAAACAAAAACAATCACTTATGATTACAGTTTGGTAATATTCTAACAATAAAGAATAATGTCCGAACATTAAAGACGCTACCTTAAAATCCGTTTAGTTTCAAAATGCAGAGAAATAAAGATTGAAGTGTTATTAATCATAACAACGTGAGAATTGAATTCCAGACTATGAGTTCTTTCCTACAGCGGGTATTTTTTATTCTCCAGAAGAGTTTGTGCCTATGTGCTGCGAGCTGTCAGTTATGCTTCTCTGTGTAGCTGTACTCGGACCTGGTGGAAGTGCACTGAAAGTGAACGAGAACAAGACTTAGGGAATTCTCGATAAGTGTCGAACGTTCAATGAGAGAAACTTCGGAGTTCTACTAAACCCCAATTGCGAAGTGATTCACCACCCTCCATTGACTTGGGCACTCATGTTATCCCCCATTTCCAATGAGGTACAGTAGATACACCTTTTATCTTTTTATCTTTTACATCTGATCAGTTGATCGTTCCTCGCCTTAGGTCTCATGAAACTATTGGAAACACCTTTTTAACTCGTGAATTGCGCGCATGCGCAAGAGCGAGTTGTAGATATGATGTGGAGAATGACACTCACTCACTCACTCGCTCGCTCGATTGGTCGATTCCTGTAAACTTTTTTTCGATTTTAGGCTTTTTGGATGCATTTGATAGTTTTTGGCGAGTAATAAACAAACGAAATGGAGACCTTTGTTGCTAAGAATAGTGGTGGGGTGAAAAAGAAGCTAGTGATAATCTTAAAAGAGTTTATTTTTTTTTCGTTTTTGTTTCAACAAGCGGCGCCAGCGACTGGCAGGCGTGCGAGGATTCACACTGAAATAAGAGAACAACCTTTGTTTTTCATAAAATTGTAATTTACAATCCTTGAACTTGAATCCGAAGATTCATTAAAAATATCACTTACTCCGAAGCGCTAGGAGTTTACAGGTGTTCAAAACCTTTTTATGTTATGGCGTGAGATTGGGGACAAAATTGATAATTACATTTCGTATCGTGTGTTTTTCTGTGTGAAGCAACAGAAGGTGCCGGCAACTGACGAAATTACGGGTTAACACGAAAATCAGATAACACCTAAACAAATAATTTTGGCTACCGATTTTCCGTGAATTTTTAAAGAACAATTTTCTTTTAAGTTTCAAGAAAATTTGAAGATTCAAAATAAACATTATGTACTAAAATGCGAAAGTTATACACCACGGAATTGATAAATAGCCTGACATGAAATTCTATCTTGTTTTTGATTATACGTTGCCTAGCACGTGACCAAATTCTACCCAGGCGGAAATCCAAAATGACGGTGGCAGTCTGGGCTTAGTTATATCACTCAAAACTCTTTCCTCTTTGTCTCGTTTGATAAAGAAGGAATCATTAATGTTTTCATTAAGATAGTATTGCCTTGATTTTCCAATATTTACAATGATAGACAGTAAATTTCACTTTTCAACCACATTTACTTCCAACCTTTTCTTTTGAACCAGAAGCAAAAATGATATATGTTTAAAACACATGACATCATCCACCCTTGTCAAATGTAATAGCATGATCATTTTAATTGTAATGCCTTCTTATCCCAACGTTACTTGGTTTTTTTGCTACATTAGCGAATACTGAACTACTGCTCGTACTCTAAATAACAAAATTCCCTAAACCAGATAACATCAAACATAATCCAAAAAATCATGTAAGTCATCTGTCAATTCACGAGTTTGCTCACAGAGCACTTTGATTGTACAAAGGTGCTTAGTCTGTGTCATTGGCTTCCTCGTCACAGGGTAAGAGTGAAGCAGCAATTGGATATGACTTATTTGCCCAGTTTTTTTTTTGTCCTAACCAAGGACATCTCGCTTAGATTATAAAGATTTCACGGTTCTCATCCCCCGAAGATTGAGTGTGTTTCAGAGCTGCGCAACCAAGAAACCTTTAAAATATTGCTGACCCCTTAACCGTCAAATGTCACTCTAAGCAGGTAACAGACAGTACAAACCTTGGGCTAGTTGATGGTTTCTGAATGGAAAAGGAAGCCTGGTCTCCGACTGCGCAGCATTCAGTGTTTATGTTTACGTCTTGGATGTTTTGTACTTGATGAACGTGTTGATGATGCTCTGAAAGAATTGCGAGGAACAGAAAAAGAGAAAAGCTGAGAAGTCGTAAAACGCAAGAGGGGAGTCTTCCTAAAGGGGGTTAGTCTTTTCATCAATTCCTATCTATAAAATTGCGATGGAATCTTACATATGATAAAAGAACTCCTGAGGAGACATTTGGCCTCCTTAAAACGGAAAATCCATAGACTTCACCCCTTGGGGTATGTCACAATGATTCTGCAGCATTGAAACCCCAGGAAAGTTAAAACTATGTTTCCACTGCTACATTACCTATTTTAATTTGCAAAGGAACTTGTATCTGCGACCGCTGTTCAGCTGAAAACTGCACGAGATTATGTTCAGTAAATGATGCAAGAGCCGCTTGTCCATCTATCAAAACACCCATTCCTGGAGAAAAATTAAAGAACATAATTATCACGAGGACAGCAACAGAAATTATGCTCTGAGGTCAGGTCGCATCGCAAAGACACCCAAGGAATGCTAAGTTGCTTCATTCAATACACAGTATCACTCGATCGTGGAATTAAAGGGGGTGACATGCACTCCTGATAAGTGTTTGTAGAACTTTAAAAAAATTTCTGAGCTACGAGGAATACTTACCACAAGTGCTGTCGGTATTCAAGGGAGCATCAATGTAAAAGTCTTGACTTTCAAGACAAAGTGCCGCGGATTTCCATTTGTAAACCAAGCGAAGGTAAACACTCGTTTTTGGAGGTTCTGTAGCAGGGGTGCTCATCGTGAGTTTGCAAGGGACAACCTCTGACCCTTTCCAATCCACTTCATCCTTTAGTTCTTGTTTGAGCGCAGCGAGCAACCCTGATAGGATCTTCTCCACTGTAGAAGAAAGAACCACTCTAATGTTGGAGGAGTTCTGATCCTTCAGCTTCCTCACGCGAACAGTAGCTATAGAACTAAATGAAGTACAGCATTGGTCGAACGTTTCCTCCACAGATGCCGGAAGTATGATAATTGACTTGAATGCACCGGTACCTATTTTGAGAACTCTTCCTTCAACATTGATGGTTGCGACTGCATTGAGCAGCAGATCTTGCCCCGTTTCTTTTTCAACGAAGAATTCCTGATAGTACGTGTCACTTTCCTTTATGTACGTTAGGCTTCCCCTTCGGCACTGTACAGATGAATCGTTCGAGTCACTCAGCTCGAATGTCACCATTCTGGCTGGATCAAATCTCGCAAATTGTATTAGACTAGCCGAGAGGTCAAAAAAATCACGCATAATCGCCTCGTCGACTTCTATTTCATCGGACATTATATCTCTTATGCAAACCGAGAGCAATTCCAACCGTTTGTGCAACCGAATTTCCTCTGCACATTCTAAGAAAAATGACTGTAATAAGTCCAGCATGGGTAGAATCGCTAGACTTTGGCCCAACTTTCGAATCCGTTCAGGTGGGTTGTTGCTGTTACAGTTTATCTCGCAAAGCTTTTCCACAATCTTGCAGACATGACAAACAAGCTTTCTGATTTTGTTATTTTCTTGAGATTCTCGAACGTTGGACGCCATTGGCTCCAGAGTTTTCTCGTCTATTCCTCTGAGACCATTTAGTGCAGGAGGAATTATATTCACGCAAAATATGGCTTTCACGTCTTGAATGAGATCAGGAACAATCTCAGTAAACATTTTCACGACTGATTCATCATTCAATGAGATCAATCGTTGGTACTTTATAGCTGTTCTTTTGGTAATCTTTTGTCGAAGTTCAAGGTGCTTTGCACAGTTATCGGATGACGATGCTCTATCGATGTCTTCACTTGAATTCTCTACTTGAATGCAACAATCTCTCACCATTGCTTTGCAAAGAGTTTGAATTTTTCCGATGAAAAACTTCATCAAACTAGCATCGTGGACTTGTAATTCCGCGATCTTCGCTGCAAGCTCTCTCAAGTTTCTAATGTGCATTTGGCCTCTTTTTGTCACTTTATAGTCTAGACGAAATGCAAATGCCAAAAAAAAAGATAAAGATTTATGTCAAATTGAGATGATGGATGAGAAGCCTCAAGAACTGAAGCTTAATATGGGAATTTATGGAATTTTTATGTTGTTTAGAAGAGGTTGTTTAGCTATCACTGAGCTAATGCTCAATGGACCTTGAACCTTTTGTGACAAACTCATGGCTTGTTTTTGTTCCATTTATTTTTCTAATTTTGCTTTAGATTTTCCCCCTGTAATGACCAGGTGAGCTCTGTCATTTTGAAAAATTCGCAAAGCTGGCAAATCAATTTTAAGAGTATGATGCAGAGAACACGACGGTGACGTTCCATGCGTGATCAAGTGCATGGCTCTTGAAGTATTTGACTTATTATTTGAACGCACATGGGAAGAATGTTTAAAGTCCCTTAACTTACCTTCCTCCTTTACATCCGATAGAAGTGTTTTCAAATTAGCCATAGCATTAGCTGACTCAGTCCCAATCCAGGGTTGTAAGAGTATCTCTAATTGGACGTCCTCATCTTCCCAATGCTGGACGACGTCCTTAGAAACAACATGGGCGTCGGGAATCTGAAGCTTTTGGGCTAGAACGGGAATAAGGTTGAAAATTTCTTCCTCGACCCCCAACAACCGTTTGACATAGCCAAGTAGATCTGTAAACAGGTGTAGACGTAAAACAAGTTCAATTAACTCATCAACTCCGATATTTTGCTTTTTCTTTTCGTGGCTTACGAGGCTTTCACTCTCACAGCGCCAAAGTTTGCTTTCCATGGATTGATCTCTTTTTGGCTCAAATCCAAGGTCAAGCTTTGCAACTCTTATTCGAAGATGCAAAACCTACCCCTGGAGTCGCGAAAGCACGGGACTTGGAATTGTAACGAGAGGGTTTCAGATCACTGTGAATCTGCTGAATCAGTTGTGCACCTGACAAGAGCCATTTACCGGGAGAGGTATCAGTATGAAAAGTGGCAATGTCTTTAATTCAAGAAGTTTATTATACACACCTTGGGTTCGAAAGAATGACCACTCTATCCAGCCATCGTCCGATGGAAACTTTTCTTAACGTTAATCCGCTAAAGGGCAGTTTATCTGGCTATCATATTTGACATACCGAAGACTTACGACTTCTCAAAAACCAAAACATTGTTGAGATTGAAGAAAGAAGCAGGGAATCGAAAGAGGGCTGATCATATTGATATAATTTCGTTACCCTAATTACCATCATTTTATCATGTACACCAACCTTCTTCGGTGAACTGGCACTCCTTGAAGTGCCCATATTGACCTTGTACTTTTATTGTTCCGGATAATATCCCGTGATCATTGATTGCCCGCAGTGGGAATTTGATTTTTTCTCCAGTACTCCACCAGACAGGAGTTTCTACAGTAACACATGCCGTCTGCTTGCCAAGCACCTGGTAGTCTTCCGCGAGATCAACAGAGATTTGAAGTTGTTCACAGTTATATATACTCTTCTCGGAATGCTCGCCACTGGAACGCGCGCTCAGCAGTTGGTATCCGTCATTTTTCAGTTGCACGAAGGCAGAGGATTCGTGTTCTTTGTAGCATGGTTCGTGGAAGATGTCTTCACTCATGAATGCCAAAGCAAGCTCTGTGGGAGTCTTTCTGAAGAAAGCTGATACTGAGTACTTAAATGGCATCAGATTGAGTCGTGACACAATCTCTTTGGCACTCATCCGAGTCAATGTCAGCAGATAAGCAATTTTGGAGAATCGGTCGAGGTTAGTGACCACTGCATCTTCTGGCACATTTATAGTGGAGTTTTGGGTGATGTCCCGCCAGGAAATCGTTCCATCCTTGGCCTCGGTCCCATGTAACACCAGGACATCATGAAAATTAGAACCTCTTTGACTGATCTTAACCCTGGATGTTAATGTTATTGGCTTCTTAAACAAATGGCCGTTCGGCAAGAGATTGATTATTGGTGCGCCAAATATGATGTCATTTTCAAGCCCTCTTTGCACCACTAAGCCATAGTACCTTTCAGGGTCCTCCAAAGTTATCTTTACTGACACTGGATTGTCAACAGCTCCGGATGGGCATAAGAGCTGTACATCATTTGCTGTGACTTTGCCACCTTTGCTGGTGATGATCCCAGATCCTCTGTTACTATTTTCCCTTCCTTGAATATCCTTAGGGTTGTTTGGAAAATCACCCTGTGACGTGGAGAGGTCTAAATCCGTATAAAAATAAATTAAGTTTTGCATTGCGTAGAAGAGCGTGTTTCGTCGTTTAATCAGTTATTCCAATATAAAACACGCTAAAACAGATAAATTAGTCTTTAAGAAATCAAAGTTTGAATTTTTTTAACGAGTGGCTGGTCTCGCTTATCTTGTCGAAAGTCACCAAGAGATTCCCTTCAGGACTCCCCATTTATTATTAATTATAATAATTATTTATTTAGACATTTAATAACTTTCCTCGCCGGGATCACACTACCGGATTGCAGAACGTACAAAGAGTAAATTGATCGATCGAAAAGAACTTTTGGGCAACCCTCACCTTTTTCCTTGAGTAAATCACTCTCGGTGTGCACAGCTGTTTCTTCCTCTTTCTAAAAAAATTACAAAAGTCATTGCTTCAATTACCAAAGTAAACGTGGTAAAAAACCAAGAAAGCTAACACACTTGGACTACGACCTGTATGACCGCGTAAGGAAATTATTAGTTACTATGATGGATTAAGATTCTCCTTGGTATATCCATTTTCATAGGAAATTAGACCTGTATCTAAATAATCGGGAATGAAAGAATGGGAACGAAGAGTACGATTATCTTCAACAAAAGTGGCCATGATTAGTATAAATTGTCACTTTTACTGCTGAAATATCTCCAATATTTCTAGTCTTTTCTTTTTTGTGTGTAACAGTAGCAGTAGAAAAGTGAACTAAGATACTTACCTGTTTTGCAGGTAACTGGCGGTCAGCGGATGATTCTTCCACAGTGCTTACAGCCGTGTGCTTGCTTTCAGTGTACCTAAAATATACGTATGGAATGCAGGGATTAAACCGTTTGAAATATATGTAATCGTAGCGATAGATGCAAGCTGAGGCCCATTGCAGCAAGATATTAAGTTAACTAAAAACTCTTGTATTCTAACTGAGATACAGTTGTCTTTAACCCTTTAACTCCCATGGGCGACCAGGACAGAATTTCTCCTTGCTACATCAATACAGTATCAAACAGACAAGTGATGAGAACAAAGAAAAATATCAGTCAGGGAATTATTATTTGATTCAATACCAAATTCTCAGAACTAACATCATAAGAACTGTATGCCAGAGAGTAAGGAGAATTGCTAATGAGATCTTAGCATTTTTAAAAGGTGAGCCAGGGTTGAACTTACGTTTTCTCTCTCTTTTTCTGGAACACAATACTTGTGTTTTCTCCCCGAATTGAATGCTCTTCTTCTCTAGCAGACTTTTCAGGAATTGCTGCAGGGTGGTCAACACCATATGAGATGCTACTCGGCTTCAACTCCGATCCTTTAAGTCAAATATAAGTTGTTAATGTTCATTCGGTCCAAAAGAAGATTCAACCCAATCTTTTACATCCACCAGCTAATCCAATGGAAAACTGTGCTTTCATTGACGTACCTGGAACAATCTTCAACTGCATAGACGGTTGAGAATTTTTCCCTTTCTCGCATTCCTGCAATGGTGAATTTAAAAACAAATTCGTGTCAACATTAATTTTGATAGAGGTCAAACACAAGGCTCAGATTGGTGCAAGCATTTGACCATCAGATCAAGGTGATATCTTGTGCACGCTCATTTCTTATTCACAATAAGACCAGCTGCGAACTTGGAAACTTTAAGCCGCCAATCATAAAGGTCACACTGCACCTAAAACCACATGGAAATGGAGGAGTCGTGCACACAATTACCAGATTACACTCCTGTCTTATTAGAGAGTCAGTTGCTTAAGGAATCCTACTGTACTTTTTAAACGTAGTACGTGAATAACTAGTTTTGATATCTTTGGAAGACACGTATCCGTTAATGGCTTACATGCATCTTTGTTCACTTCCTAAATACATAAGACTCCTCATTCCTAACCTCGTATAGTTTCTGGTATTTCTCACTCTTTCCTTCATCACCCAGTTGTGTGGCTAAGCCTTGAAGAGTACAAAGAATGTCTTTTTGGTCCTGAGCAGACATGACAGTTCTCTCTTCCCATTGCTTTTCAAAGAATTCAAATTTCTCGCCTTGGAATTTCTTGTGCAGTTCCTTCTCACGAAGTACTTTACTTAAGTACAAAATAATTTGCAAGATTTCTTCACGCTGGTTTCGTGGGAGTTGCTGCAGATCTGGCGAATTCCAAGCCATTACATAAAACTCCAGAGCCTCCTTCCTGTATTTGCTTATCATTTTTCGGTCTTCAGACCTATTGAGCCGCTCGATGATCTGATCGATGATACTCTTCTTAGCGTAGGAAAATTCTTTGTCTTCTTGCCACAGCCTTTCATAAAATTCCAAGGCCTCTTTCTGGAACTCGTTTCGCCTGCCGCTCTTAAGGACTTTCTCGTAGCTCTGTATAATGCGATCTCTCACTGCACTGTGGTTTCCCATCTCCAAGGATTTCTCAATTCTCCATGCCTCTTCTAAGAATTCTTCAGCTTCGCCTGATTGGTCTAAATTTCTGCAGATCTGTCCAACCTGAAATGCACTCCTCGCCGTGTCGGGATGGTCACCTAATATGTCTCGTCTTATCTCTAATGCATCCATTGCTGACTTGTAAGCTTTCTCAAATTCATTTTTCCATGCGTAAGCGTTGGCGATGTTTCTGTGATAAAGTGCCAAGCGCAAGATTCCCGAGCGTTTTAGTTGCTTGGAAAGTTTCAGAGCTTCTTCGTAACACGTGATGGCCTTGTCATATTCTTTTTGCATTTCGTAAACCGTACCTCTCTGGCCGATAAAAAATGGCAAATCCAGATGGTTATTTGAAGCTGAAAGAGCTTTTCTCATTTCATAAGCCCTTGTGTAAAATTTCATCGCATCGTGAAAGTTTCGAAGCTCATTGTAGCAGTTTCCAATCGCATTTAAACATTTCGTGGTACTTGTGTGGTTTCCGACGAGGTCTTCCATCAAATCAAGTGAAAAACGCAAACTTCTGAGCGCTTCCGGTACACTTCCTTTTTTGTAAGAAATCTCGCCTTTGACGTACAGGTAAGTAGCAAAAGCAAATTTGTAAGGATCTTGGTTCTTTATCTCCTTATCTACTTTCAGAGAGGACTCCTCTGCGAGTTTCAAGATTTCAGTTGCCCTCTTCCATCCATAGATTTCAAGAGCTTGCATTGCCTCGTGGGATCTCACTTCCATGCGAAAGATGGAACCTGGAAAGTGCAATTTATAAAAATCAGCCTCTTAAAAAAATTTCTCTCTACAACCAACAGTAACTAGTTCTTTTTTCGGACATCTCATCTGTGAAAATACAGCAATCAAACTAGTATCCCAAATGTAGGAGGCTAATAAAACTTGCTGCAAGGAATACTTCCATTGCACACTCATGCCCTACATCAAGGAAAAGCTATACCCAGGTCAAGTCTTTACAGTTCTAAGTAATCAAGAAGTAATCATTGCTCACACTAGATTATTCTATTAGCTATCGTGCAAGTCAAGTGCAAGAGAACTAATAGCGTATCGGGCAAAAATGGAAGCAGATATCAATTAAACAAAAACTTCTTCCCACCTTCTCTTCCGTCCTCTTCCGTTGCTTCTGTCCACGATTTGAAAATCTTCTCTCTCTGTTTGTTGTCAAGCATTGCTTCAAAAAGGTGGTAGATAATGGCCCTTTCATGATGTTCTTTCAAACGATGAAAATTTTCCGCTTTGAAGGGGAGGTCTAAAGCCAACTCAAAGTTAAGCTTGTTATGGTCAAAATACTCAAATGCACTTACGTAGTCTTTATCCAGCAATGCCGCGATAGATATCATTTTTGAAAAGTAAAGCTCGCGAAACCTATCTTTGGCTGCGTCGTAGGCCTTTCTGAATACTGGACTACCGGTATTTCCTATACTTCTCAGGAAGCTACGCATCAAGGGATGAATATCATAAAGGAGCTCCTTTGCATCAGGATCCACTGATAACACCGCGCTACTTCTCAAACCTTCTAGTACAATGACTGCTTCAGAAGACTCTACACCAAGGACAGAAGCAGCGGCTTCCTCAGAGAATGGATAGCAAAACAGCGATAATGCCACGGCAGATGATCTAAGGTTGATGGTTGGAAGGAAAAAGAACATCTTTCTTAGACAAGAGAGCTTTTCTTCACCAATCTCCTTACTGAGACTTTGCCACGCTTCTCTTTCCTGCTGATTCTGTACTGGTGAGAGGAAAGTTTCACCTTCGTCAGTCTCCGATGTCGTCAGTTCGTCTTCAACCATTCTAAGAAACTTCTCACCAGCTGCTATCTTTTGCCGAAGAGTGGCCGCCATGCCATTTAGAAGAAGTGGGTACCCTTTACACATGTCCACAATTTTCTCAATTTTTCCCATCTGTAAGACAGATAATTCTCCTGCCTTTTGAAGAATCAACTCTTGCGAGAACCCTTTCTCTAAAGCTTTCACTTCATAGTAGTCGCTTTCGCAGGGGGTAAGCCCTTGGAAACGTGTCCTGGATATCAAAGCTACTTTCAATCTAGCGATTCCCTCATCGTCCTTCGCGTTCCTATCTTTGTCTTTGATAAGCGTTTGTAGCAGTTTAACCATCTTATCGTTCAGGGTCTTCAAAAGATCGCCATTTCCACCAGAAAAATTATCCACATTGTCCAGGAGTAACAAAACATCGCCTGGACTTTCCTTCCTCAGTTTTCGAAGTTGGTTGATGACTGGATTTTCGTCGTAAGTTAAAACTGTCCTTTTCGTGTCCAGTGCCATCATAATTTGAAAGTAAACGTCTTTCATCTCCGCAACCTCCCTCATGTCAACAAAGATGGACTGTCCTGGCCACCGCAGAGAAATTTCTTTTCCCAGGGTTGTCTTTCCCACACCACCGGAGCCATATAAATTGACGATTTCCTTCGCTCCGGTCAGTTTGGCCATGATTAAATTCAAATCGAGGTCTCTACCTTTTATTGCTTGTCCTGATACCTTTGGCTCACCGCTCTGGAGATGGTTTTTCTTGAATTTTTCGATTCTCTTTGTGATACCCTCCTTCTTTGATGATTTACAAGCAACAAATCTCTCCAGCAAGGTTAAATTTTCCTCAGACAAAATTTTTTGAGTTGCAAACAGTCGGAGATGGGAATACAAATCTTGGTCTGTTTTAGCCTGAGAATTTACTTCTAGGGTGTTCTTTATGGATGCAACAACATCTTTGAGTTCTTCAGCAGTTAGTGCATCGGTAACATCTCGCAATAGTTCGTCAAAATGAGGCGAAATCTCTCCCAAAGTCGCCGAAGGTGCTTGAGGGGTCGGTTCCTGCGACGCCATCTTTGGCTTCACTATTGACATGATACTGACATGAGGCTCCACATACTATTTGACCCAAAGATGACACGATGAATTTTAGAATTTTCGACTCGCGGTAACTGTGATTCCCTATTATCAAATTTAAAGGCTATAGAGGTATGAATGACAATAAATGAATGGCACTAGTCGAAAATGTCTATCAGGTAACCACAACAGTCAGTCTTTGGTCGACAAAACCGGTTTTAGGATAATGTTGTCACGCGATTACCGAGGATGCAGCTGCAGTATGCAGATCTCGCGTCGCTTGTGAAATTCCACAGTCATTTACTGACGTCAGTGATTTGAAAAGCTGACTTAGCGGTAGGGTGATCATGACAAAACAAAAACAACGACCAAAGAAAGTCATTGCTATCGGATTTCTACCAGTGATATTCGTAGAAACACGGATCAAGGTCATGAATTTTAATCAATTCCCGGAAAGACCATCAGCAGTTAGGTAATTCTCGGAATTATCCCATTGTCAGTTTGAGTTATTCAACGGTGACGTTGTATTATCCAATAAACCAGATTGCTTATATGAAGTATGTTTTGTAAAATACCTTAAATCGTCGATGGTTAACGATATTTAGTTTGTTCTTGGACTTAATCGCGCTTCCTTAATCAAGATATATTTATCAATGGGTCGAATTTATCGACAAGTGGTAATTGATATCAGCGGGATACATGGCTCTTGATATTAGTAATCAAATCAAGTTACTCAGAAGTTACAAATGAAAACTGGCGTGCATCCGAGAAATCTTTGGTTTGGATTCGAGTTTAGCACAAGTTTTAGGTCAGTTCTCTATTCTTGTAAGCTACTCGTCCGCCCGCTGCCTCCACAAGGCTGGTGTGTGTGTTTGTTTTGTTTTTTGTCAGCGCTGTAGAATTCTCGATCTCCTGACGATTTTATCTCCTTTTCTTTATAAACTTGAACGAAAATCCTTACTCCTTAATTTTCTGTCATCTTTTTTTTTCTTTCTTTTTTTTTTGTAATATTATAAGACACGAGGATGGTGCTCTCAGAGGGAGAAATGAGTGTCCGTCGGGTCCACTTATGGCTCTAAAGAGATAAAGTAGGTCAGCGGATGTATTCATAATAACATGCACAGTAGGATTTAGCAGAAAAATCAAGAATCGAGTCAACGAGTTTAGACTAAGTAGTCCTGTTCTTTTGTGTCCTTAAACATCAACAAGCCATGATCTCAGGACTGAAGAGCAGGTCTCTTCTTTTCTCTATAAAGGTAAGAAACTATTCAAATTTCGCTGATGTCGCTCAGTTCGCTTTTACAGCTTCTGTGTCCATTTCTTTTCAGTCAACCGGGTTGGCGAGAAGTGCCTTACGATCGTCCGGTTGTAGGGCTTTTCATTTTAAAATTGAAGGAAGACGATCACAAGATGGTACGGCGAAGGGACAGGTTTGAAAGAAACTATTCTTTTTTGGGAATTATTTCGTAAACTTAAGAATTTATCGAGCGATGACAATGGCAAAGGCAGTCTTACATGATTTCGTTATGTAATAGGACATGATATTTACGATGCAGATTACGTTTCCGTGCGACTTTTCATGATGTAACGGCGCAGAGAAATCACTTTTATTTATTGGGTGTAAATGTATATTGGCTATGTAATAAATATTTAAATTTGAACAAAAGTGTTGGTTTTTTTCTTTTTGACCGCATTTTTGACACGAAAACGTTCAATTCTACTATGAGAATTGCGTGACAACAGTTTAGGCTGGCGGTCACGCTCTATTGTGGGCCCTTAATTTTCAATTTCGTTATAGAACCAAAGAAAAAATCACCGGTTTCTATTACACTGGCTAGTATGTAGAACATATTTTTCTTGAGTGTTTTTTAGACAGTAATTATGCAATGTATGGAAATACATGATCGTATTGAATATCATAATAATCGTTCGTCTTGAGAGTAAAATTTCCTCACAGCCCCGTACTACATTATGCTTTCAGTTCTTGGATAGAGAAAACAATGACAAAAACAATACATTGCCGTTGGGAACACAGATTTGTTTTAGAGCAGTATGTGGCTGTGCAGAAATTTTGCCAGTTTATTTCAAATGAAGTGTATTGGCAAACATGTTTCAGCACACTTAAAAAAAACACAAGGAAATTAACCCCTTAGCTTCTTGAATTAATGAACATGTAGCTCCCCAAACAATAATCATACGTAAAATAGAGAAATGTGTCGATTTGAGGGTATTACCTGGATAGAACATTAAATTCTCCCACTTGTTCATAAGGATATCTACCAAACAGAAGTGAGAATTACCAATTGGATTTGAGGAGTTATAGAGATAACTTAGGAGAGTGTCATGGTTGCAGTCTAGTCATCATGATAATGGCAAATCATATTTTGAATATCCAAGTCTACTTGTGTGCTTAAATTAACTACTAGCATTCTTCTTATCTACCTGCAGTTATCACGGGAATATCCTGTGGTAGACCACAGTTATGATGCTGTAGTTGTTGGTGCTGGAGGTGCTGGTTTACGTGCGGCCTTTGGTCTTGCACATGAAGGATTTAAAACTGCTTGTATCACCAAGCTTTTCCCTACAAGATCACATACTGTTGCAGCACAGGTTAATGCTTTTACTTAATTTAAAATCATATTTTAAAGTAACTTTCAAACTTAAACAGAGTCTGGACAGGGTTTGTCGTCAACCAATTGTTTGAGTTACATCCGTCACACAAATAGAAATAACGTGTTATGCTTTCACTAGTTATTTGAACAATAGCCATCACCTTTTTGCTCATAAGGTATGATTACCTAATCCTAAGCAATGCACAAGAAAAGTTTGTAAAAATTCGGACCAGGACATATGATTATCACCCTTTTCCCATGTTTTTCCTGCAGATTCCTTGAAGATTATTGTGTCAGCAATATATAATGAATCAATGTAAAGTGCAGTCAATTACTTTAACCCTTAAACTCCCACAACTGACCAAGACAGAATTTCTCCTTACAATACAAATATAATATCAAGTAGACAAGTGTTGAGAATAAAGAATAATATCAAGAAAGGGATTATAACATGTTTTCAATTAAATTAAATGTCATCTACATGTATGCAGGACGTGCCCAAAGAATTCTGTTTTTATTTACTAGGGAGGAATCAATGCTGCTCTTGGAAACATGGAACCTGATGATTGGCGTTGGCATATGTGAGTTTGTTATCTTTTTATGGCGAGGAATGTAATCATTGCTTCTTTCTCTGTTTTTATAAACATTCTATTCCGCTACGGGCATTCTCTTCCAGTTTCCCAATATTTATCTTGTTGGCATCTATCTGCTGAGAAAACGTTCAGTGGCTAGTCTGTTTTGAAGTTGACTCTTTTTGCATTTTTGTTGACACCAATTTTGCACATCCAATTCTGGGATTCAGCACTAGCTGTGTTATGCAGTCTTGGTCAAAACAATGTATTCAAATGTTATTCATGTTACTGGTTTGTTTGGGGTTTTACATACAGGTATGACACAGTGAAAGGGAGTGACTGGCTTGGGGATCAGGATGCAATTCATTACATGACAGAGGAAGCCCCAAAGTCAGTGATTGAGGTATGTGCTTCTCAAATGAATGTTGTAAATTGACCATTGTGAAGAGTTTAAAAGCTGACATTTTGAGCATTAGCCCTTGGTCAGAGCAATTGACGAAGGGCTAACGCTCGAAACCTTTACGTTATTAACTTAATTGATAATACTAAATTACCCTGTTATACTCTCCCACCAATGCAGCACCACAGTTTCTTTAGAAACCTATCCCCTTCATTTGAATTTTGTAAAGCCAAACTAATAATTCTAGCCAATTAGATCAAATAATACATTTGTGAGGAACCATGAAAAGCTTACAGTAAACTCACAACCAGAACTAAGTGTCAAAAATGCAAATTAGAAAGTAGTTACAATTTTTCTTTTTTTAAGTTTGTTTCTACTAGTTGAGAAATGTACATGCAGTAGAGCAGCACATTCCTGGATTGCTTTTGACAAACAATCAAAAGTTGTTTTCAATGTGAATTAGTTCTCTGTAAGGTACATACATGTATCATGTATACAATTAAACTTGCAAGTTTGACATTCCACGCATAGTACAGCACATTCTCAAGAGTCCATTGTTCATCTGGCATACAAGCAAACATTGATAAAGATAGTGAGTAAAACAAATTTAAAGTGTTTGTATTGTTTTCTTTCTTTTGTACAGCTTGAAAATTATGGAATGCCCTTCAGTCGAACAGAAAAGGGCCAGATTTATCAGCGCGCATTTGGTGGTCAGAGCTATAATTTTGGTAAGGGAGGTCAGGCACACAGATGTTGTGCTGTTGCTGACAGAACAGGTCACTCCCTGCTTCACACTTTGTATGGCCAGGTAAGGAGAGTATATTTGAAGAAAAAAATATATTTTAGGGGGTAAGGGTGGGTAGGGGTTTGTTTTAGGAGGTACATGCAAGAACAATTTAAACTTAGATTTCAGTTTTGAGTTACGTTGATATTTTTTGTTTCTTCATTTGTAATAATTTCTTCTTTAGTCCTTGAGATATGAAACGGAGTACTTTGTGGAGTATTTTGCACTGGATCTCCTCATGGACCAAGGAAAGTGTGTCGGAGTTATTGCCTTGTGCCTCGAGGATGGGTCACTTCACAGATTTAAGGCAAAGAACACAGTGATAGCAACTGGGTATGTTAGTGATTACTGTTATATACACAATGGATTTACCTTTTAACAATAACTGTTATTGACTGTATACTTAACCATTTAACTCCCAAGATCCAATTTTTAACCCTCCCCTCCAGCTGCTACACATTTCTTTGAAAAATATTTACAAGAATTTGGTATAAGATCAAGATAATAACTCCTACTTGATAAGTTTGAGAATTCTCATTACCAGTTTGTTGGATAATCTGTGGATATTATTGGGAGAAGTTACCTGTTAATCACTTCTGGAAGTTACAGGGTTAAAAGTAAACATGCAGTCTTTCAATGCTGTTTCTTTTCATTTGCAATACTGTTGTGCATATGCCTAATTTAGTTCATTTTAGGGATATTTGGCTAATTCAATGTTCATTTCCTCTAGTGGGTATGGCCGTGCCTATTTCTCCTGTACGTCAGCACACACCTGTACTGGAGATGGAACAGCCATGGTGGCAAGAGCAGGACTTCCTAACCAAGACATGGAGTTTGTCCAGTTTCATCCAACAGGTATTTTTACAAGAAAAGTTCTTTTTACAAAAGAGGATCTACATTATAACTTCCCAGTTTCTGCAGCATGATACATGTTCTCCCTCCAGGAGTGATTTTGAACCCCTATATTTTAGCCACTAATTCATCCCCAGCATTTTAGAATGTTTCCTGAATAGTTTTTTTTCCTTCATTGATTTTAATTCCTCAGAGGAGAAAGACAATTGAGAATAATGTTCCCTGCCCAAAAACCTCTTAAGATGACTAAGACAACCATTTCACTGAAGTCTACAGCACCTATTATAGTTTAATTATGGCACCTTCCACTTGTTTCCAATTAAAATTTTTTTTGTGTTCTGGCCTATTTTCCAAAATTCTTAAATTGGTAGCACCTTCAAATTTTGTTTCAAAAATTGTAAATTGCTCAATGCAACCTGGCCAAAAGTCCCCTGCAAAAGTTTGTAAAGAGCATATTGATATTGAGAATGTGCTATATAAATGCAGCACTACCTAAAAGACTAAAGATTTATTTGTTCATTTTTGTGTAGGAATTTATGGTGCTGGTTGTCTGATTACTGAGGGAAGCAGAGGAGAAGGAGGTTATCTTATCAACAGTGAGGTACTGAACTGTGTACTCTGTACTTGTTTTACAATTGTTTCTGTTCTATCAGATATAAGTAATCATATTCTCTGGGCTTGATTTATTATGGTGTCCTTTGTTTAGGGAGAAAGATTTATGGAGAGATATGCTCCTACAGCTAAAGACTTGGCATCAAGAGATGTTGTGTCCAGATCAATGACGATTGAGATCAGAGAAGGAAGGTGAGTACATAAGCAAGTTTGTTTCTTTATTGTAGTTATTTTTTGGGTTATGGGTGCAACTTAGCAGCCATAGGGGTATAGAAAATAATTTGCGATTGGAAGGTTAGCTTCCAATTTTTTTTTTCATTTACACTGAAGAAGGATTACTTTCCCTTGGTTAGTTTACAAAGTATTTTGTGACTTCTGATCAGACCTGAGTTAAGCTTATTGCCAGTTCTAAGGTAGTCTTAACTTACATTTGATTTTCTTTTCAGAGGGGTGGGACCGGACAAAGATCATGTGTACCTTCAACTGTCCCATCTTCCAGCTGAGACACTCAAGACACGGTTGCCTGGAATATCAGAGACAGCCATGATCTTTGCTGGAGTCGATGTGACCAGGGACCCCATCCCTGTTATTCCCACAGTGCACTACAACATGGGAGGTATCCCCACAAACTACATGGGTCAGGTAGGTGTTGTCCTCCCTCTCCCCAATCCCCTCTGTCCTCTCTTGGGTTTGCTACTCATGGGAGAAATATTGTCTTCTTCCCAATGTCTTCTGCTGTGAGATTGCAAGAACATCAACATGTAGTTTAAGTTCACTTACCAAAAACTTGTCATTCTTTTTCACCACTCATCGCTCAATAATTGAATTTTTGCAATCGCTATTTCTGTGGTTTGCAACAATGTGGAAATATGTGCCCTATGAGAATTGTCTTTTCCTCGGAAGAAACTTGGTGAGGATGAAAAGGGAAGTAAACAAATGGGAGTGGAATTTCCCATTTGCTTTTGTGCCTCCAATTTTTAATGCTTAACCCAGTTGAGGCTCTGATGGCACTCTCTGTCATATTGTTTTGTTGTTTATTGGGGAAAAAGTGCCATGTCAAATAAAACAGCCAATGACAAGTTAGAAAGAAGTTTTTCAATGATGTAAAGTTTTCTCTATTTCCAGGTTTTGACAAAGAAGGAGGGCAAAGATGAAGTCGTGCCAGGCCTCTGGGCGGCTGGAGAGTCTGCATGTGCCTCGGTCCACGGTGCAAACAGACTGGGTGCTAACTCCTTGTTGGATCTGGTTGTGTTTGGACGAGCATGTGCAAATTTCATTTCTAAGTTTAACAAGCCAGATGAGACACTTCCCGAGCTCCCTTTGGTAAAACATTTTCCTTCCGTCCCTTCCTTACATCTATGTGTTTTTCCTTGGTGGGCAGCCATGTATTCTTTTATAACCAACTCTCAAAAATGGCAATGGACAATAAACCATGTCCTTGCCAAAATATTTCATAAGATTGTTTCATCTCATCAACTGCTTTTGGTGTAATTTATTTATGTTGTTTGGAGAACTTATTCTAATCACTTCTTGGATATGAGAATCTTCCATGTGAAGTGTCTGTAATTACATGAGAGAAACATGAAATTTAAGTTGAGAAACAAAACTATGGCTGTGGACGAGCGAATTGCAGCAAGTGCTTTACGGGAATTTTTTCATAGGAAGTGTCTATTAGTAGTAGATAGAGACAAGAAATGAGTTATGTACACATGAATGAAAATGGTTCCATTGTGTTTTGAGTGGAGGATAATTATATAAATTCTTTTTTGTTGATATAGAATGCTGGAGAGGAGTCTGTAGCTAACTTGGACAAAATTCGATATGCTAATGGCAGTACACCTACTGCAGACTTGAGAATGGACATGCAAAAGGTAAAAGTTGCATTTTGAGAACAGTGGGAGGAACCTTTTATTTGCACAATTTTTCTTCCTCTGGAACAGCACAAGTTTCATGTCAAATTATGCACAGAATCAGAAGTTGGTCTTTAGCATACGCACTATTACATTTGGGGATATTTCTCTAACTTTTTCGGTTTTGTTTTTGTTTTGATTGTTTGCTTTCTTTTTTTGAGTCTTTTTTTTTTTTTGCACCTCTGACCTATATTAAACTTTCCAAATGATTGAATAGAATTGTGAATGGTTAGAGATCAAAGAAGATTTGGCACTGAATCAAACAATATTTCCTAGCTGAGTGTGTTGCTTTCTTGTTATCATCCTGCTTTAACCTTTTAACTTTCAGATCAAATTTGTAACTCTCCTTACTGTCAACCATGCAATTCTTATAATGTTAGTTCAGAGAATTTAGTATTGGATCAACAAATTATCCTTAAATTGATATTTTCTGTATTCTCATCACTTATCTGGTTGATGTTGTATTGTTATTGTACGGAGAAATTCTGTGTTGGTCACTCATGGGAGCTAAAGGGTTAACTGATATTGAGAGGGGAGAGCACTTAGTGATCGCTTTTGGGAAGTGGAAACTCAGAAGCCAGATGACTTATTTTTCTTGTTGTTCTTTCCAGACTATGCAGGAACATGCAGCTGTATTTAGGACTGGTACAGTCTTGGCTGATGGCTGCCGAAAGATTGATGATATCTACAACCAGACAGAAGACCTCAAGGTACAAACACAATTGGACTTTTGTCTTGCCCTAAAGCTTTTCACCAATTGCCTAATTCTGTCTCACACCGTGGTCATTTAAAACTGCACTTTGCTTTTGAGAACCAGACAGCATAAATTACTTATGCTCAAGGTTTTTTTGAAGTAATTTTTAAAAATTTTTTAGACTGCCCCTCAACTCAATGTTTTCTTGGGTAATCTGTCGCCAATGTTTTAGATTTTCAAACCAAAGGGTGGGCAGGAGTATCAAGGTGGTAACTACATGACATAAATACCCCTTCTCCCCCCCCCCCCATCCCCTCCCCCTACCCTTCCACTTAAGGTTCTCACAGTGGGGGCCATTGCAGTCACAAGTTTGCAGAGAAATTTAACCTATTTCTTGCACTGTTTAAGTTTTGCTCTTCCTCTCCTGTTATCTAATTTGTAGTTGTTTGATCGTGGCATGGTGTGGAACACAGATTTGGTTGAAACACTCGAACTACAGAATCTTCTCATCAACTGCAAGCAGACTCTTTATGGAGCAGAGGCTCGTAAGGAAAGTCGTGGTGCGCACGCTCGAGAGGATTTCAAGGTATTGTTGAGTTAATAGTGATTTTCAAGTGATTGTCGAAATGAATGCAGGATTGCAATTATTTTACTTTCCTTTCATTGATAGGAAGGATGCCTAATCTATCAATGAATCTCTCTATCAATCAATCAATAGAATCTATCAATCAATCTAGACAGTTCTGTCTAATTTTGGGCAGCTAAGTTCCATTTGCATCGGTACCACTTCATTCAATGCGTTCCATTCTGAACTGGGAGATTGTGTCTGATTTTGAATCAATGGATCCTTATACAAGGAAAAAATGAAATAAATAGAGTTTATGGTAAAGTTCATAAACTTGTTGATGTTACTCGATTGACAAAGTATTAACTGATTAAGGGCGATTTTCAATTGAGTGTTGTTAAACCAAAACCAATGTAATCACAGCAGCCAATTGGAAGAAAGGAAAACTCCTGTAAGAGCCAAGGAGAAATCAGACAAAACCATCCAAACTGCCCAATGTGTGCAAGGAATCAAGTTGTGATTGGTGTTAGTTTTGTAACTGATTGGTTGGGAGAGTGATGCAAGTTTTCTGGACCAATAACAGAACAAAGTAAAGCAATCCCGAATTACTTTCAACACTCAATTAAAAATTGGTTTATCGACTCACTGATGATGGAACTAAGGGTTAAAAACTTGCTTGTCCTGTTGATCTTTCTTTTTGATCCTCTGTAGGAACGTATCGATGAGTATGACTACTCCAAGCCACTGGAAGGTCAAACAAAGCGTCCGTTTGATAGTCACTGGAGAAAACACACCTTGGCCTGGACTGAACATAATACAGGAGAGGTATGTCAACATTCTTGTTCAATTTTTCCCAAGGGGACCATACATAGTATTTTGTTTCTTCTCCATCTTCTCCCCTCCCTCTACCCTGCAGAAAGATAATGTTAGTAGGGAAAAAAGTTGACTAAATTATTGACCAGTAAGGTCAGCTTCAGTCCTAGCGGGCTCTGTTCCTCTGTTTTGGAGCAAAGTTTTTGTTGTGAAAACAATTTTTTGTGTGTCTTTGATTGTTTTATTACTGGGCGAACAATATTCCTCTTCTAAAGATGTTTCTTACCTTCTCCCCTTTGAAGACTGATTTTCTGTCCTGTTTGCCTTGTAGACAACCCTGGATTATCGAGGAGTTATCGACGAAACTCTGGATCAGAAAGACTGTGCCTCTGTCCCCCCAGCAGTTCGCTCTTACTAGAAGGCCAAATACTGATAGGAATGAATGAAAATCTTTGCAGGGCTAACAGGGGGGAAGCACTGATTTAACAGAACTAATTTAAGTATATACTGTTCTCAATTGAGAATTTTTGCGTGTAAAAAGTTTAAAAAAGGAACAGGATTTTAAAGCTAGTTTCAAAAAAACTTAATTGGAATTATATGTATTTGTTGATGATTTTGTCTTAAGTAGCACAAGTGTTGTGTTTGTTACTGTTTCTTTTTTGCTTCAGAAATTCGCCCTACTATTTTTGATCTGTTCGTTTATTTGTTTTTCTGGCTTCAGTGAGAGATTTTTTGTTGTTTGATACTCTGGTAAGAATTTTCCGCCTATTTAGTTTTGAGGAAAAGTTCTCCACTCAGGGTTGATCCAAAATTGTTAAAATTGCAGTATTTCTTATTTAAATGTTCATCGAAAGATAAGGAAATTAACAATAGCACTCAAAGATTCGAGTGGTTTTTTTATATTGTTAAGGCTATTCAATTATGTAAAAACGGAACATGCCATGAAGATATTTCTCTCTTTTCATTTGCTTAAATTAAACTGATTAATGCATGCCTGTGTCTGTTTGGATGGGTTTGGTTTCATTTACCGCAAAGAAATATTCAATTCATTTAATTTATTCGTCTCTATTTTGTCCAGCCGTCGTATGGACAAGCTCACGATCGTTTATTCGACTGGACATGTTTAAGTTAGATTTAGAGTGGACAGTAGAGGGGAGGGGAGGGGGGGGAGCGAGTGGAAAGGTGAGAAGACTACTAATTTATGATAGTAAACTGGTATCCATTCAAACTCCTGGGTGAAGGGAAAGAGAACAACGAAATGACCCAGCTGGGGCTCAAACCCAGATCTCTCGCACTATAAGTCTCGACCAGAAATAGTTACCTCTGCAATTAACTATTCGCTTAAATATTTTCAGCCTCGATGACAGCTTGCGGTTCACTCCGCCTTCCATTGCATGAAAATATTAAGAGTAATGTTACTCTCCTTGGATGGCATTCTATTCCATCGCGGCCAACACCCAGTGGGCTTTTTTGATAGCTCACTTGAAACCAATTTCACCCTCTTGGTGAAGAAAGGCACTGTGACCTTGAAGTGTCTGTCCTTACCATACTTAAAATTGACCCTGCCACGTTTGAAACGGCACATTTTGATCTGGAATCCAGCAAGGTGGCCATCGGACCACAGCGGTACTTCTCAACCTACTGTTTATTCCGTAAAAATGAGAAACAGAATGAAATTTGACTTGAGTTTCATGTGGACTCTCCTCATGGGAGACGCTCGTTCCCAGTGGCCTTTCAGGGGTAAAGAAACGAAAGAGACACCACCCTGTCACTCGCTCTGTCCCGATAATCACCCGACTCAGAAACTCGTTACTAGTGCTCCTCGGGCGTACCTCCAGCCGGTAGAATTTAGTTTAGCCTACGTGCAGCCGCACCCTCCCCCACAGAGGTGAAACGGAGGCGAGGGAGCTCCCTTGCCTTCGTTTCACCGCTGGGGGGGAGGGTGCGGATACGGGTAGATTACCTTAACTCATCATGTCTCAGTTTTCGAACTGTGACGAATGGTCGTCGTCATGAAAAGACAGTTATATTTGTGATCGCCATTTGTGGTGTCTTCCATTTGGACCGTTTTGATGGCGAAAACGTAGTATAACAGGAGAAACTTATGTGAAATGGGAAATGGCATCGAATAACCCAGGTTTTTTTTGGTTTTATTGTGTGAAATAGACGGCCATTTTGGATTCATTATTTCTTTTTTTGTAACTTACGTTTATGTTTACAGCTAATCGTGTCGGTGGAGATTTCGCCCCACCGAAAAGACCTAACTTTGGAACAGTGGGAAGACCGATCGCTCTCAGGACAAATTTTTTTCAAGTTCGCCTTCCTAAAGGAGACATACATCATTACGATCTTAGTATATCTCCCGATAAGTGTCCAAGGCGCGTGAACCGAGATGTTGTCGAGGCGATGGTTAACACATATCACAAAGTTTTTGGAGGACAAAGGCCTGTTTTCGATGGAAGAAAAAACCTCTATAGCAGTAAAGCTTTGCCGATCGGACGAAAACCAGTAAGTGTGAACTGTAGAAACATGCAACTATTTTGCCATGCATGTGATCGTAAGATCTAAATTTATATTGTTTTCAATCATCTTTACCTTGTCTTCTTGCATTGTCTAGGGAAAGTGCTAATTGATACCTCTCCTCTTCGATGGAACTTATTTTTCCAGGTTAAAATTCTTTGTCCGATGTCGTGATTTTAAATTTAACCTTTACAATTTTGCGACACTTTAGTGAATGCGAGTCGTTCAACTAATTTGATTGTAGATCTACATGCGGCCCAAGCTCCAGTTGTGTGATGATCATCTTGCGAAATAAGAGTCATGGCGAATACAAGATTTTGTGTGGGAATATTTGCGACCGCTCTAAGGAATAAAATAAACAGTCCCCCCCAAATTCTCCAAAAAAATACAGCACCTACTTTCACAGTGCATCACCTTTTATCTGACCACTTACTATGTTGAAAAGAACCCATTCTGGCGAGTTATCCATTTCTAGGTTACTACATACATAAGTGAAGCCCAAGGCTGCACACTCCATTTCCGAACACCCAATCCGAGAAGCAAATAATCCAAGCTCACAATTACCAGATGGTCACAAATCCAATGAAGAATCCAAGCACATATACTCTGGTTTTGGTTTCCCCATGAAACCAACACTAAGCTGCAGTTTGGTTAAAAATTTTCCAGTTTAGACATTTCTAACAGCCCCCATACACATTCACCCTGACAAACAACCATTCAAAACCAGCTCAGTAACCCTGCCAACTTGGCACCTGTGGTTCTAAAACAGTTTTTTCATTCCATTAATAATTGCAATAAGTGAAGTAGTTCTTTAAGAAATAGCCCCTGCACTAATCGTAAGTAGAGAACCTAGCCCCTGTTGTGGTGGTCAGGCCTGTGTTTGGAAGTTAGGGGCATCTGCAAAGATTTCCTTCAGTAAATTATTACTGGTTTGATGGAGTTGGCCGAAGTCCTCCAGAAAGCATTGTAAAGTGGAATAAGCTGCTGGATATGGTGTTATAGAAATCGTTCAGTAGTTGTAGTATTTTCATTACTAAAATGATGAATTTAGGGAACGTTGCTCTGCCTCAACTTTTTTAATTTAAGATACTGAAAATTTCAGATTGATTTTGAAGTAACACTTCCAACTGAGAACAGTAAAGACAAGGTATTTAAGGTAAGTAAAGAGTCTGGTCTTGGAATTCATGTGAGAGTAGCTTTGAAATTTTGCTTAGCAACAACTTCTTTCACCTTGCTTTACATCATAATCACAACTTTACAGTACTATTAAAAATCACACTTTATTATGTTCATTTTTCCCACCAGGTGTCATAAAAATTTATTTGTCAAACAATTAGTTACATAGCTATTAGAAAATAACAGATTCTTTTACAGGTTATACTGGCATTCAGCAGCCAATCCTCTGGTACTCCTCTTTTTGTGTAGGTTTCTGCTATTGTAGAGTGAAATGTCTGGTTAAACTCTTTTTCTCCCTGAAGTGACCAACAAGTTGTTTCTCTTTAAAAGATCTATACATTGTCAAGCAAACCAATAGTGAGAATAAAGGAAAATATTAAATAAGAGATATTGTTCTCAAGTAAGATTATTTACAAAATTCTCAGAAGTACATGTAACAGTGAGTTTAGGTTTAAAAAGCTTACACTGTATTTTAACCCTTTAAGTCCCATTAGTGATCTAGACATAATTTCTATTTACATTATCAGTACGATATCAGGCAGACATGTAATGAGAATAAAGAAAAATATCACATTCAAAAGCTACAAATCACTGACATCCCTAAATGCACTTATTATCTTTGCTGCTTATATATTTCTAGCATGGTAATTTATGCCTGGATACTTCTAACAGTATTTTGTTACAGTACACTTGCTTTATAAGAAATAATGGCTATGAGATTTTGGTAATTGAGGATTTACAGTTGTCATACAAGAAGCTAAGATTGTAGAGGAGTTGCACATGTTAAAGGTGCCTGTCAGCATAGAAACAGTTTTGTGTACTGTACACAGGTTCAAGGTCTGGTCTTATATTGTAGACACAAACAGCTCCCTTCTATTCTACAACGCTACAGTATGTTGTGATTTTGATTTAGGTGACTGTTAAATGGGTCGCACAAGTCAGCTTATTTGCACTGGAACAAGCATTGGAAGGAAAACACAATCAAATCCCTTTTGAAACCATCCAGGCTCTTGATGTGGTGTTAAGACATTTGCCATCCATGAAGTATATACCTGTTGGAAGATCTTTCTTCTCACAGCCAGAAGGCTATTACCATCCCCTGGAGAGTGGGCGTGAAGTTTGGTTTGGCTTTCATCAGAGTGTCCGACCATCGCAGTGGAAGATGATGCTGAACATTGATGGTTAGTGTAAAAATGACTACTTTATATTACTATAGAATTGTTTAAGTGTATCATATCATGGTGTGAAATTAATTTTTTTCTCTAATAGCCACTTGGCTGCTAAATTCTTCAAAGTGGTAGCCAATTAAAAAAAAGTTGGTCACCATTTTCAAAGACAATCAAAACCTCTTTTTATGCAGTCATTTATTAGAAATTAAGTTAGGGAAAAGATCCTTAACATGCTACAAAGTGGACACTAGAATGCATGATATGCAACATTCAAACCCACCTAAATGCAAGATGACGTCTAGTTTTCGATCGAGATACATGTGCTGCGTTTTGGAAACAAACTTAATGAGGAAGTTTGCTGCGGATTTATCTTTGCAAATCTTTTTCATTCACTATATCTCTAGGTAAGGTAAGGTATTCTAGTTGCCAATTTGGCAAGTAATTTTCAGGATTTGGTCGCCAAAGTGAAAAATTTAGTCACATTGGTGCCTGTATTAGGCACAATTTCACACCCTGCATATACATACTGCTGATGTAGGACTGTATCTTGAAATCAAGGGAGAATTATACAAGGAAATTATACAGACAAATTTAGGACATGAAAATCATGTGTCTATAACACATGCTGTGTTCTCTACAATTCTTAGGGTGATGGCTAAGGAGAATTATTTTGTTTAACAATCAAGAGCTTCTTTAGTTGGTTATCATTTCTTTTATTCTTTGGACCTTAGTGTGCGATTCAGGGCTGATATTGTAAGGAGAAATTAGATGCTGGTCACTCTAAGGAGTCAGAGGGTTGAAGGGTAATGTAAACAGTAGCCTCCACTAACAGTAGAGTATAAATGTACCCAAAGATTTGTCTGAAGTTTTTGTTTATCAAGATAGATAGTTGCCGGTCACTAAAACTCTGATGATGTTACTGAGAAATTTTATCTTTTGACTTGATCATAGTTTCAGCCACAGCATTCTATAAATGCCAGCCAGTTGTAGAGTTCATGTGTGAAGTCCTTCGCAGACAAGAACAGGATCTTCAAAAGACAAAACCATTGTCTGATGCAGAAAGACTGAAATTCACCCGAGAGATAAAAGGTATGGAGCCACGTATTGTGTGCATATGAGAGGATGATAGATACGTGTAGACTGGGAAAAATAATTGAAGAAGAGTTTCACTGTGCAATCATGCTCTTTTTTTGTTTTATTAATATTATTGAAAGTAATTTGGAAAAATATAGCTTATCTGCATGGTTGACATTGACAGATATTTAGCAGATTTTGTTGTAATTGTTGTTTTTACTGTTATTATGCTACAATGAAGAAAATGCTTTTTTGAATGTGCTTTTAAATATGGTTACATTATAGGTTCCAAATTTTAAAGGTAAATGTACTTGTAGCTCAACTAGGTTTTTTTTTATTAGTTCAATCCAGTATATTCTAACCACAATCCCTAAGTATTATCTCTTGATAATACTGGAATGCCAACCTGTCCGGACAATTTTTTTAAAATGTCTAGACACGTTTTAATTCATCATGTTGTTTCTTGGATGTTTCAAATTGGTTAACTTTATACTTGTTTGATTGCTCTTGCACATGTGGGACAGAGGTTTCCATTTTTTTTACCACATTTTGACGTCATCTGTGATCTATTACTGAACAGACGCACGGCAACTTGGAATCTATTTGTTAAATATATATATATATATATTGATTTTTCATTACCAGGTCTGAAGGTAGAGATTACACACTGTGGATCAATGAAGAGAAAATATCGTGTCATCAATGTAACAAAATTACCGGCACAAACTTTGAAGTTCCCTCTAAAACAAATGGAAACAGGTCAGCCCTGTGAGATCACAGTGGCCAGATATTTTCAGGAAAAACACAAGAGAAGGCTTCAGTGAGTAAAGCAGTAATTTTTCACTTATTTTACTTCAGTAGATTCCATTATTGTGACTCATAGCTTTTTATGGTTTAATATTCGACTATTATTTCATTTTCTAGTGTTTTAACGTCCAGTTTTCGAAATACTTCCTACGTCGTCGTTTGAGAATTGCATCCGTGTGCGAAAACGGAAACAGGCGAAACGAAACAATTAAAGTGCTATTTATCACCAACGCTAAGAATTCGAATGGCATTAAATTTTCGTTCAGGGCGTTTACCGTAAGCATTTGCCCTGTTCTACAATATAATACCGTGGCACATGTTGCGCGTTCCGTTGTCCTCATATGGTTAAGTGACGTGACGGCGTAATTATATCAGTTCTTATTGCATGAATAAACATACATTCTCTAGTTGGAGAGAGGCACTGTACGACTTAAGTGTCTCTCCAAAGAACACGTCATTATTACCCGGCTAGGTCTCAACCCAGACTTTTTGATAAATATTCTAGCGTACCAAACTTTGTGTCACTTATCGTCCCATCTGTAAAGGTACGTGTACGTTCCTTTATTTAATCCTCGTTTTATTTCTTTGTTCGTGTGTTCGTGTAGATACCCTCATCTGCCTTGCCTTCAAGTCGGACAAGAACAGAAACACACCTACCTTCCCATCGAAGTGTGTAACCTTGTGGCAGGTCAGCGCTGCATCAAGAAGTTGACTGATAAACAAACGTCTATGATGATAAGAACAACAGCAAAGAGTGCTCCGCAGAGAGAACAAGAGATCTTAAATCTGGTGAGGAATACCACTGATTGACATTCATATCTGATTAGTGAATTTTTCTGATTTTTTCAGAATAGCCTTTTCCCCAATGCGAGTCATGTGATGTTGTTAATCAATATGTACGTATGCTCGTTGTGCAAAGTAGATGACAGAATTATATGGAGCGTAATAAAATATTACAGGAGAAGGCGGAAGCACTTCACCTTCCTTCTGAAAATTTAACGCTTTCGGAATTGCGTTCTGCATACTTTGTTTACACTGAAAAACGCTGTTGCAGGCCATACTGAAAGAAAACAAGGATATTACCGTTCCAAGGTTTGACCCCAGCTTTCTAGGTTTGTATTCCAGCATTTCTATTCAGTGAAGCTTCTTATAGACAATGACATGTTTTTAATTTCCGCTCACGTACGACTTTAGGTCAGGAAAGCTGACTTCAACAATGACCAATATGTTAACGATTTTGGAATCTCAATTAACGACAAAATGGTGGACCTTCAAGGGCGGGTACTTCAGGCCCCAAAGCTTCAGTACGGTGGGAAGGTAATTGTATTCACGTGATTCTTTTTTTTTAGAGTTAAATCCGGTTTGGAGATGTTGAAATGTTTTTAAAAAGCTTTCGCCCTCGAGTAAAGAAAATAACCAAATGGGTGAAAGTGAACTGCGGATAAAGACGTGAATGAAAGTGACCCTCGCAGTAATGTGCACTACTTAGGCAGTAATGAAAATAAGGCCTGAAAAAAATTCAGGCCTGTACGGGATTTGAACCCATGACCTCTGCGATACCGGTGCAGCGCTCTACCAACTGAGCTAACAAGCCAACTGGGAGCTGGTCATGATGTTGGTTCTAAATAAACCCGTGAAGTGATGAATAAACGGTTAAGAATATATGAAAGTCATATATTTGAACTGCGGATAAAGACGTGAATGAAAGTGATCCTCGCAGTAATGTGCACTATTTAGGCAGCTCCCAGTTGGGTTGTTAGCTCAGTTGGTATCGCAGAGGTCATGGGTTCAAATCCCGTACAGGCCTGAATTTTTTTCAGGCCTTATTTTCACTACTGCCTAAGTAGTGCACATAACTGCGAAGATCACTTTCATTCACGTCAATATTTGTTGTTGCATAGTATTTTTCAAGCGTCCTTTATAGAACTTTCATTGCCAAACCTCTGAGTGCATATCACTTTTTTTTTGTTATTATGTCTAATTTAATATTAATTTTTTCTTAGGACAAACTGAAAATTTCCCCGAAACAAGGTATAGTGAACAGTTTTGTGAAAAATCACTAAATGATAGTAAAAATGACGAAACAATTCAAATGCTATACCCAGTGAAGTGAGGTATATTCAGAAGAATTTTTAGTTCATTCTTCAGTCACCAACTACGTCCGTTGCCATTAAATCATGAAACAGGATTGTCTAACCCTCTTGATGTAGGAAGTGAGCGCTTTACTTCGACACAAGGACGATTTTACACAGAACAATGACAGCAGAGGCGCTAGAGAGAAACAAAACAGTTATTCGCCACTCGGTTTTTACATGATGGCGAAAATAATCTCGGCCAGAGTTTTGTGTTACCTTCCGTAGCCAAAGACTGAGATGAATGACACAGAACGAGGCCTTGATAATTCTCATTGTCATGAAGAAAATTACTCCAGTCGCTGGTTATAAAACTATCTTCGTCTCCATATATTTTTATGCTGTTTTTGCACCGTCCAACTTTCATTTTCATGCTTTGCTTTCCAGGAGCATGGGATATGAGGGGGAAGCAGCTATTTCACGGCATTGAGATAAAAGTCTGGGCCATCGCTTGCTTTGTCGACCCACGGGAAGTCAACGACAGAGTATTGAAGAGCTTCGCCCATCAGCTGATGAAGATTAGTGGCGAGACTGGGATGCCAATCAAATCTGAACCATGCTTCTGTAAATACGCTAAAAGAGCGGAGGATGTGAGTAGCTCAACTTCAAAATTCTCCTTAACGTCGTGATAGGTTTACTTACGTTTGACTGCTGTAGTTAAGTTAAAAAATCATTTATTGAGCAGTTCTCTGTGTATCGTTTCAAAAGTAAATTTCATTAGTCTCAGGTAAAAACACACTCGAGGTGTTCCAATTGTCTTCATCTGTCTTCGAAACCGAGGAGACCTCTAGGAAAGGAAACTATTTTCAAATGCAAACTACCAGGAATAAAAATTTCCCATCTCCTACATGCAAAACAACTGGGAAAGACATTTGCATAGAAACTTGTATAGATAAACACGACCCTCATTCTTCGTTTTACAAAACTATATTCTAGTTTTCGCCTTGCGTGAATTATGTGTGAAGTGAAAGAGATGGAAGAGATTTGCCGTTTTTTTTTTCTTGTCAGGTTGAGCCCATGTTTAAACATTTGAAATCTACCTTTGCCAATCTTCAGCTCATTATTCTTGTGTTGCCTGGGAAAACGCCCGTATATGGTGAGTTAAAGAAAAAAAGGAAGGAGAGGCGACAAATTCACAGTGCGAGTATCTTTCAATACTGTCTGAATGACCGGCTGACAGACTGACCGGCTTACTGACTGTCTGACTAACTGATAGACTGACTGACTCACTGACTCACTGATTGACGCACTGAATGTTTTGACTTTGATCCTTTATAGATTGTAGATTCTCAATGTTGTATTGTTCACATTTCTCTTATAGCTGAAGTCAAACGAGTCGGTGATACAATGCTGGGAATCGCTACTCAGTGTGTGCAAGCTAAGAACGTAACCAAGTTCCAAGCTCAAACACTGTCAAATCTGTGCCTAAAGATAAATGCCAAGCTCGGAGGAATAAACAATATTTTGGCCCCAGATGTTCGGTAAGATTGATGTACTTAGTGGTACTTACAGGGGCAGCGGAGGGGGGAGGGATGGGGATATGCCAGGCTTGGAACGGATGGGAGAAGTTTGGGTTGTTGAGAGAAATCTGCGAGAAAACGATTTTTTCGCACGTCTGTTATTCTTTACTAGTTCATGTATGCATATGCTCGGCAAATTACGTCCAGTTATCTTGGAATGTTTCTATTCTTTTGTCGTGTCACGATTAGATTTACCAGATCCCCCAGACGGCTCTGTAATATTCTTATATTTCCTCACTCGTTGGATGTCAATTTTCTATAGTCTCTCATTTATACTTTGTTGATGACGACTGATTCCCCACTCCGTTCCCCCTCAAAATCCTCGTATCCTCCCTTTCCCTTGGGTGGTAATTACGACTGGTTCTTAAATATTTGAATCCATGTTTACAGACTTCCTGTGTTTCGTGAACCTGTGATATTTCTTGGAGCTGATGTAACTCACCCTGCAGCTGGGGATGAAAAACGACCATCAATTGCTGCTGTAAGTTGAGCGTTGTTTTATTCGGTATCTCTCCTGTTCTGTTTGTTTCGTAGTTTTTGTTGTTGTTGTTATTTTTTACGTGTCCTTTTTTCTCTCCAATATTGTCACAGTGAAGTCCGTGGAATTTGTTGCAAGAACTTTCCCCGATAAAACCCCTCTTGAAGCGTGCATTTGTACAAATGCACTCAGCGACATTAATTTACTTTGACTTTAAAACAAATAGATTATAAATGGAAAACCTAAAGATAACTTTTTGTGTTTGTAGGTTGTCGGCAGTATGGATGCTCATCCCAGCCGGTACTGTGCTTCAGTTCGAGTTCAGACACATCGACAGGTACGATAGTCGCGCGAGAATGCAGTCGAAGTCGCACTCCATGAGCTTTTGAAGAAAACATTTTGTTATTCCTACTCTCACGTGATCTTAGACTCCGCTCAATTATTTATTTTACAGGAAATCATTGCCGAATTAGCGGCCATGGTCCGCGAGCTACTGATTCAGTTTTATCGTTCGACGAGACACAAGCCAGTCAGGATCATTTTTTACCGTGATGGAGTCAGTGAAGGCCAGTTTAGACAGGTGAGGTAGTGATGGTAGTTACAGGGGTTCATGGGTGAATATTATTTGCTGTCTATTCCTGCCGAATATTTTTCCGTTTTACGTTGTTTAAACTGAAGAGTATTGCTGCTCCTTTTTTATTCTAGATAAGATATTAATACTTTGAAACTTGTGTCTTTGCCAAAAACATTGCATACAATAACACATGCTGAAAGACCAGTCAGTGTTCAATAGTGTACGAAGTTCTTCGCGAACTTTTAGAACTAAAATTGTCATGACCCTAAATTTGTCACTAGGTGTTGTGTCACGAACTAAAAGCCATCCGTGAGGCTTGCATCAAGCTGGAAGTTGGGTACCAGCCGGGCATCACTTTCATTGTTGTGCAGAAAAGACATCACACCAGATTTTTCTGTCAGGATAAAGAGGACATGGTATGGCTTATGAAACTGGCTCGCCATGTTTTACTTCTTCTCCTTCTTCTTCAATATCTTTTTGTAAATTCTAGACGAAAATGTCTCGAGAGCGTATTTATCTTCTTAGGTACAAAAATATAATTTTGGGGAGGAAAGTAGTGGAAAACACAACGTTTTCCTGGAGGTTTAGTTAGAGCACTAGCCCCAGTTTCCCCCGCCCGCAGGCCTTGACTCATCAATGTGCTGTACACAAACCACTCGCGTGGCTATGCGCGCGGGATTGCGCAGATTTTTATTTCTCTCAACTCAAGAGAAAGGGAGGAAAGTGTTTCTTAATCCCTTTCAGCCTAATACCAGTCTTCATATTCTCCGTACTGGTCTCTTTACATTTCCTAAGGTAATGACAAGGGGAATTTTTCCAAAAATTAAGAGCTTCTTCAGCTAATGATCAATTCCCTTATTCTCTTCAGGGATGATATTGTAAGGAGAAATTAGATGCTTGTCATTCTTTGGGGTCAGAGTGTTGAAAGGGAAAAAATGGATCATCAATGCGTCCCTACTCCTATTGCTGAATTTGGCGGATTCCGCTTCATTTAGGTTTTCACACATTTAATATTTGTTTGTTGTGGTTGGTTTTAGTGTGGAAATAGTCAAAACGTGCCCCCCGGAACCACAGTTGATGTTGGTATAACTCATCCCACTGAGTTTGACTTCTACCTCTGCAGTCACGCTGGAATTCAGGTAAGGCTTTGTCACTCTCTAATTCTCAGGGCTTAGTGACATAAAAACTCTCCCCAGATTTTTTGTTAAACATAAAGCAAACAGTTGGTGAGAATACTTACACATTGTATCAGTTGGTCCTGATGTGAACTTGATGGAACACTAGATTCTCTTGGCAAATTTACAATGGAGTTTGAATCAGCTGGTAGGGAGAATCAACAATCACATCTTGGGAATTTACTACGTACCTAGATGCCTCGCGGAAATCGAGGATTTATTGGTTTCTGGAAGGACCGAATTATTTTAAAAAGGGATCAGAAGAAGAATTTAAATTCTGATCGTTCTTCGAGAGTTTTCTGACCTCTCCTCCCTTTAGCGGGGGGATTTCTAAGCTCCTTAGCACGCCCAACTCATGCCATTTGTATTTCGTGGCCTTTCTTATCAAAAGAAAAAGTCTAGATACAACACCGGGTTACACAGCTGCCCAACTTAATGCTGCTTTCCGTTGCATGAAGCGATCCGTAGTATCACCACCCCTTGGCTTGTTTGGTTGTGTTTAGAATAAAGACAAGACGCTAATGAACCCGCCCATTCCTCTTGCAGGGCACCAGCCGACCTTCGCATTATCACGTCCTGTGGGACGACAATAATTTCAAAGCAGACGAGATCCAGGCCCTCACGTATCAGTTGTGTCATACTTACGTCAGGTGCACACGAGCAGTATCCATACCAGCCCCCGCGTATTATGCGCATTTGGTGGCATTCAGAGCGCGATTTCATTTGATAGAAAGAGAACGGGAAAGGTGAGATATTGTGCACAGTAGACGAAGGGTGTCCCCAGTCATGAAAGATGGTGAAATTCCACATAACCTAATAAACTTTACTGGCCAAGGCATAAATATGATGACTGATGATTGGAAATTTGCGATTTTTTTTTACCATAAAAGTGAGATCAGAAAATATTATCACATTCCCGGGCAGGGAAATTGAACTTGGTGGAATTTGACTCATTGACATCCGTATAAGGACTGTAGAAGCTTCGCGAGCAAAAAGTTTTAGTTCCTGGAGAGACCCATGAAATCTGAAATCGTAGGGCAGGGGATACAGGGGGAGTTATCTACGGTTTAAGGGATAGGCGGAGGAGGGGGGATGAGGCCCAAGGGACGGGTAAATTAAGGGCTTGATTGTTGAAGGATGATTGAGGTCCTTTTGGTAGAGGGGGTTTGAAATCCAAGGGGTAGGGATATTTGAGAGCCGAGGGGTAAAGGACTCCAAGCTTAGCTAGCTGGAGGAAGGTGAGTTTAAATTCTTATTCTTTCTGTTACACCTGATATTAGTGAAACTATTTTTGCAATTCTTTCCATTCAGCCCTGAGAATGGTTCGTCTTGCAGCGGTGGTCATGGAGAGGACAGAAGCCCGCAGATTTTGGCAAAAGCTGTCCAAGTTCACCCTGAGATGTTAAAAGGAATGTACTTCGCTTGAAGACACTTTGTAAAGAGTAACATAATTAGTTACCGACTAATGTAATACTTATAAGAAAACACAGGATATTTATCATTTGTCTTACAAAAGTCAACCATTTCTTAAGAGATACTTTCAGCACGAGGAGATAAAATTCGTATCCCCAAGCGGCCATGTAATGTTCTGTTTATTTTATAGATGCTGATGAAATTCCTACATAATTTCAAAAGAACCGGCCGCGTCCTGTTAGTAACCATGGCGACATCAATATCCTCGCACGTGAAAAATAAAAATAGTATCTTCACTGCGCGCGATGAAGATATGTTTTTTTTTAGTGAAAGGAAAAATCCTGGTATTTCATCAGTATCTATGTAATAAACACCTTTATCACGCAGCGCCATCTTGGATTGCGTGGCGCACCGAATCGAGGCTGGACGGGCATAAGATATAGGCGTGTGTTACGTTACAGTGTTTTTAGTTAAGTTTACAAGCAAGCATGGCCCACGATCTTAAACGAAATCCAGAAAAACACACGAAATATCGCCGTCGATTTCACAAAGTAAGACCGAAGAAACCTTGATGCCATTTCCGATCTCACATAAGTTTCTCCTGTTATGCTACACTGTGGCCGTCAAAACCGTTCAGAAAACGTCACTAATGTAACTTTTTCATGACGAAGATCGCTGATCGAGTTCGTAAGCGTTCAAAAAACAGAAAACAGTGCCTTAGATTCGATTTACTCTGTGCCCACTCTGATTGCGTTGCATCTTGGTAGCGTTATTTTCAATATGGAGATGAAAATGATAGAAATCGGCAGATTTTGACCGAATATTCCGTAAAAGCTGATCGTATATTCGAAACTAGGAACCATACACCTTTATGCAGCGACTTAGGACAAGAGTGGCTCCGACCTGTAATTGGACGATAAAAATACTAACAGTTAATAGGTTATGTCTCAACTACTTGCTCGTGAGTATTGTTTGTAAATCGTATGATAAAATCTGAAATAAAGTAGATCTCAAGGATTAAATGACAGAGTCAGGAAACTAAAACATAAAAACATATTAAACTATAAAATGATTCAAACTTTTGGATTCCGAGAAAAAAATTGCTTTAAGGCCTTTGTAAAGCTTAGTACTGATGTCATTTGTCGTATAGTGATAGGTAAACTGTTTCATAGTTGACATGTGGTAACATTGAAAGTTTTACCGCCATCTAATTTACGTTTAAACTTTGGGCAAACTAAGTTATAGTTTGCATATCTAGTGTTGCGAGAGTGAAGATCACCAATACGTGTGAAAAGGCGAGTAATATACGCAGGCATTTCTCCTCGTAGTCTCTAAAATGCAATTAGATATATGGAAATTTTAGCCTCCTCGTATAAAGGTAACCAACTTAAATCATCAAATAATCTGACAGAAGAGGCCTTAGAACTAGCATCCATAATGAATCTAGCTGCATGACTTTCTTGTCTTAGTTTTCATCGGCGCTGATCAAAAATTCAAGACGTAAAAAAGTGCAAACCCAAGCTATTCTTAAATTTTTTCTCTGACTTCAACTTGCAGAATATTTTTTAATCATGGTAAACACGAGATTGACAACAAATAACACTGAATAATACAATAGGTAAGCCTTGTGATATTTCATTTTGATAAACTTCAACATGAAGCAAGTTTAATTTATTGATGAATTAATTCACAATAAAATTAGCAGTATCCCATTCGTAGATTTTTCATATAGGGTTAAAGAAATGTATCAAAGAAAAGCCCTTACGTCGTTTAAAGCCTTGCTCAATAAAGCGAACTGAACCCCGAATTCTTGGATCGCTTCTAACGATCGTGTTTCCTTTCGGAAATCCAGAATAAATTTAGCGGTAAATTTTCACAAATACGTGGAATGAAACAAAGAAATGGACCTGGTTATCCTGGAAATGAGTTCTGAAATTATGCCAAACAGCATTATCTCGTTTATAAATGCATCATTTACGCAAATCGCAGCGAAATTACGTCCTGAACTTGTTGGGGAGAACAGCAACCCTAACACCGGAAGTCGAAATAGAGTCGTGTCCAGATTATCCACGCGCTTTCCCGTTCTGAAATGACGTTCTCATCCTCTTGCTAAATCATTCAATTAGCAGAAACGAAAATCCTCAAAAAGAAGACGAAGTGGACAGTTCGAGTTTTGAAGGTTTTCACACTCAGTTAGATTGCAAGCTTACTTACGGTATTAAAAATCAAACACAGCTAACACTCGTGTAGTATATATAGTTTCGTGTTCAAAAACAAAACAGAACAAAACAGGAATGATGAAAAATATAGCCAAACTGGCATAACAGTGGAAATTCATAGTAATCATGACGGTGTCAGAGCGACCGCGATCTTGCTGAGGTCCTACGCGGCTAGCTCATCATGGCTTTATTATGAAACAAACAGAAAAGCCTTGACTGTGCTCTGTTCTCTTGTAAAGCACTTAGGAAGCGGCTAAGTGGAGAGAAATACTCGAATACGTTTCGTGTTTCTCCCTACTCTTCTTTCGTGCTCTAACCGTTTCCTGTGTGCTTTACAACAGAACAGAACACAACCAAGGCTTCTCTATTTGTTAAATGGAATTTTCATTATAAGGTTCCAGGGTGCTAAAGTGTGGAATGATATAAGTGGTGACATAAAGTTTCTCTCTCTCGAATGTTTTAATACGAAGTTTAAGTCAATTCTTATTGCTAAATATCAGTTGTAGATATGCCAAGAGTATATTTTTTGTGGCTTTCCGATGTTAAATACTGACATAGTTAGCTTTCATTTGTTTTCTTTCCTGTGGTCACACAACTTTTTAAAAATATACTCACCTGTAGAGAGTCGTCCACTAAAAAAGCAACTTAGTAGTTAGGCATATTAAAAGTATATTTTTGTAGAGGTAAATGAATCGTACGTCATATATTAGTCAGAATTTTAATAGCTCAATCAGTTCATGAAAATGGAAGTAGCTTTAAGAAAATATTCAAAAACAAAATCAAACGAATTAAAAGAAGTGTGCAAAGCGTGTCGGTCATGAATGTTATTTGTGTCGTGGTTCAACTTCAGTCTCATCGAAAAAACATTGAATTTAATGAGACTTTCAACTGAACGTGCTGCGAGTGACGAGCGTAGGTGATGTCCCGAGCAGAGCCTTTTCATCTTTGGACTTTTGTGGTTTCTTATTTCTTGCGGCATAGTGGTAAGAGTGTTTTTTGTGCGTGGTAGCCACTCACCACAGTTCACGTTCAATGCAATATACCTAAAACTGTCATTCGCTATCATGTTTTCAATGTCGTATTAAAGGATGAATTTTTGAGAACAAGTTCGATTTTAATGCGTCTGAAAATACATGTTCATTGATTTTTCCACTGTTTAGACTTGTTCAAGTCACGTAGCCAGATTGTAATGGTTTTCTCTCTGTCATTACTAAATGCTAAGCATATTTTTGATGATCTTCATTGTAGAGTTTTAGCCCCTTTACCAGGACTGTTGACCAATTCACTATTCCAACCCCCTATGATATCATTACAAAGGCAAGCTCATTGGTGACGAGAATAAAGAAAAGGGATGTTGTCTGATCAACTCCCAAATTCTCAGAGTTAACATATCTATGTCAATCAGCAAAGAAAATCACTGTTTGAGAAATGTAGGGAGGAAATGGGTAAGATAAACAGAAGATTCCTCTAATATTTGTGGTTCTGAAGCCACTCTAGTAAGAGATATTTTTAGTCGCCGGAGTGCATGTTTAAATAAACTCGTTTAATTTGACCTTTTCTTCCGCTCAGACTGGCGGACGAGCTAAAGAGGTGCTATGTAAACATGCCACCCATCTCGTGTTGCTCAGTCATTTTAATATTTGAACTGCGCATTTTCAACGAGATGAACTATTTTAAGGAATGACATCCTTAGTTCGCGACCTACAGATACATTTTTAAAGCTTACCTGTTTGGGTCATTGCAATCAAAGGGATTTTATGGTCGAAAAAAGATCAACTTTTTCATGAATAATCCCAGCTCTTCTGGACTTTTCCTAAAGTTAAATATTTATATACAAATTTATTGATCTGACAATAAAAGGCGCTTGTTTCCCTCTTAAAAGATTGAGTATTGAAAGTAATCACGTTTTACGATTAATTATCTCATTGGTCATTTAAATTAAAAGGCTTTACAAAATAAAAGCGCAACAATTTCATGGGAATTTATATTTGTGTTCCTTGAACGACTAATAAATAATGTTTTAACCTTGACTTTACTTTATCCTTGAAATTTTTTATATTTTTCCTGAGGAGATTTTAAAAAATTTCTTGTCATTATCATGATTACAATATTGTTTCAAACCTTATCAGTAGTCCAAGAGTATATTTATACCTGGAGAGAATTTAACTTGAATAATTACATGCTTGAATGTTCAGATTATTTACTGAAGTAGTGATACCTCTCAAAGTATTACTGGTACTTCAGTAAATTGACTGCCTTAGCTGTCAATAAGGCCGTGAGCCAAGCGTTTCTGACTTCTGTAGACGAGAATCTCAACATTCTAATACTCCCATCAACCTGGGAAATCTTAATGCACATGGAGTTCTGAATAGTCAAAGACGTGACACTAGACATCATTATGATCTCGGAGAACACCAGCACTTCTTCCCTCTTCTCATAACAGTATAGCTTATCTTCCAACAGCACAAAGCGTCTCCTATGCCAACTTGGTCTTCTTCTGAACACAGCGCATTCTTTCAGCCGGCAAAAATCTCCTTCTTGAGACGATACCAAACTACTGAAGTTGTTGTTTATAAAACGATAAGATGGAGGCGAATACGGAAGGCAGCTCTCTCCTTTGGTTAGTTTTTTCTTCAACTTCCGCAAAGGCCCTTTCCAGAATTTCGGTTTTACCTGCCAAAGGCAGGTTTCACTGCGTGCCTTGTAAAGCTTCTCCATAACTGATCAATAAAATTTTGCGGGTATGTCGAGGTAATTTACCTTTTAAGATTCAAGCAATGTCCATACAAATGAACAAAAATACGCACCAAAGTTAAATTTTTAAACGACCCAACCCGTTTTAATTTGTCTCGCAGAGAATTAGCGGAAACCCCTTAGGCACGTACTTAAAAACCGTTTAAACACTCTCTACTTCTTTCTATTATCACGTTACGCGGGTTACGTGTTTTTGCGTGGTTCTAGAATTTTCAAACGTCAATGTTTCATATTGTTGACCGATCTTTGA